ATATCGATATTCAAAAGCGTGTATCGGAAATATCGATATGGCAATATATCGTGATATTTTCCCGGCAATATTATATCGATATTCAAAAGCGTGTATCGGAAATATCGATATGGCAATATATTGTGATATTTTTCCTGCGATTATTACATCGATATTCAAAAGCCGTGTATCTTAATTCCTGAAAGAATTTACATGCAAACATTTGTGTATTTTCTTTTCGTTTTGCGCAATTCAATCGCCACCCGCTAGTTGCCAGCAGTGTGCAGCGGGTCTTGTTTCCACCACTGAAATGTAAATCCCTCCATCATGGTTCAGATACCTCATGTTAAACATGTTACGTATCAGTTTGGACTGTTTATTGAACATTCTTACAATAAATTCAGTAAAAAAATTGCTTGTAACGTCTGACTGAATGTATCGCAATACATCGTGATATATCGTATCATCTCCCCTGTATCGTGATACGTATCGTATCGCCAGAATCTCAAAAATACACATCCCTAGTCCAGGTCAACATGGCAATTGCAGAAGATGGGGCCACTTTTCAGCCACCTGTATAACTCAAAATCCTTCTCCAGTTCCTTGTTCCCCTCTCACCCTCCTGCTGTTCCCCGAGGATGTTCGCTCACAAAGGCCACTTAAATTAGTGATCAGCGTGCTCACTTGTTATTCACCGATCGGCCGCAGGTGCAGCAACGCCAGCGCATGAGGTAAAAAAAATACGGCGTGTGCAAAAATTGGAACACAATCGGAGAGCTTTCCCTCATCACTGCTTATGCCAAAACATCAATTTAGCTTAAGGAAGTAGCCGGTGTGTGTGTGTGTGTGTGTGTGTGTGTGTGTGTGTGTGTGTGTGTGTGTGTGTGTGTGTGTGTGTGTGTGTGTGTGTGTGTGTGTGTGTGTGTGTGTGTGTGTGTGTGTGTGTGTGTGTGTGTGTGTGTGTGGCTGCTAACTATCAGTTTTACTCATAGCGTCTGACATGTGAGTCATAGTAGCTGGCTACGGCTCATGGAAAATTCACAGTTGGAACATGGGCTTAAGTGGGCTCTGTGCAAGGGCCAAACAAGTGCTATGTTGTCATTTTCAAGTGAATCACGACAGCAAACAATAGGTCATCGTGTTGGAAAGTTGAGGGCACAATTTAACTGTGACATTTAGGTAAAAATTCCCAAAGCTCCACTGAAGCAGATTTTTAAGTGGTGCAGAAGGCGTCTTGGATTTCTGGAGATTTTTAGTTTTTAATGCCACGTAATTCCGGTTTACGTCATGCAGATTTGTTATTTTAAGCTGTTATCATGTGTACACACAAATAAACAAACAAAAATGTATGAAAATATTAACATCTGACTTGTTTTTAGTGAGAGAGGGTGCAATCAACTCTGATTTGCTGACATGTTTAACCATCTATGTTTTTGTACTCTATTAAAAATCTTGTCTACAAATTAAAAACAAATCTTTGTATGAAGGGACACGTGTAGCTTGTTTATTTAAAAGAATCATAAAAATATTTTCTAAACCCCTAAAAAGTACATGTAGATTATCTAATTGACTGATGTTAGTAAGACCTCTATTGATGTCTTGTTTGCTTTCCATAATCCTCACACTGGAGTTGAAACAAGAACCTGATGCTTCTGTTAACTTGTTAACATAGTGTAGTTTATAAAGATGCTAACAATAAACTTAAAAATGCAAATAGGATGAAAATATAAATATATATTTTTGTATGGAAATGTGTTGATTATTTAGGGCATCAAATTAAAGTGTTTTTGCCTAATGGGCTGATGTTTTCTAGCCTAGAAATCTTGACCACCCATAGCAGTAGCAAAAGATTTTGCTCTGCAGGTCAGTCTAGCCACGCTTCATTGTAGCCTCAGCAAGTCCACTATTGGCTCAAACTATTTTAGGTCCAGCCAATCACAGCAGTCTATGTTTGTATAAAATGCTGAATAGTCTTAGTGCTAGAGAAGCAGCTGGGATGAGAATCAGCTCCTCTAATTCCGAGATCATGGTCTTGAATCGGAAAAGGGTAGAATACATTTCCTAGGTCAGGGACGAAGTCGTGCCTCAAGTGAAGAAGTGTAAGCATCTTGAGTTCTTGTTCATGAGTGAGGGAAAGATGGAGCGTGAGATCGGCAGGCGGATTGGTGCTGCATCTGGAGTTAAAGATAGACTCGGTTGTCCGGGAGGGGCTCAAAGTAGGTCTGCTGCTTCTCCACATTGAGAGGAGTAAGTTGAGATGGCTCAGGCATCTTATTAGGATGCCTCATGGACACCTTCCTGGTGAGGTTTTCCTTACACCTCCAACCAGGAGGAGACCTAAAGGAAGACCCAGGACACGCTGGAGGGACTATGTTTTTTGGTTGCCCAGGGAACGCCTTGGGATTCCCTCGGAGGAGCTGGCCCAGGTGGCTTAGGCTGTTGCTCTCGCGACCCGACTTTGGATAAGCGGATGAAAATGGATGGCTTAGTTCCAGTGCTGCTACAGAGAAAAACTACAAAGACGGCACATGTTTGAAACGGCTTTGGCATCAACTTTGGATGATTTAGACTTTGAGACACGAGCAGATATAAGTACTTAAGTCCTTCACATGGAAGAAAAGATGTATTTGTTTCTTTTTCTTCGACGTGGATGGCAGACTGCCTTGTTGACTGATTTCTGCAATAACGAATATGTCACGTTTTTTTTGTTGCTCTGATTGGTGTTAGTGGTGTCCAACAGCATGCAGAAACAGTTTGAAGGACAACTGTAGATTCTGCCCCACGACTGAGTTCTGTCTGCGGGACTCGTGAGCAGGCTGGATGTTCTCAAGTAAATGAAAAGCTAAATAAATAAAAGCTGACAGTCGTAAAGTCTTTCCTCATTTTTGTTTTAGAATAAATAAATTTAGGATATTATTGTATGTTTTAGTTTAGTTCTCTCTCTGTTGCCATACAGACTTTTTTAGGCCCAGTAAAACATTGTGGCTGCGTCTCTGCTCGTCATTAACTCACACTGAACCAGTGCCACTATGGAACCCATTAGCCATCAATCTGGGCTGTTGAGCGAGTGGTAAATTTGCTACTGGCAAAAAAAGTTATGAGGATATTTGTAACACTTGAGCACTGTTTTGTTTTTATTGTTTTGCAGCAGCATGAGGAGGAAATTAAAACTAACAGGAAAAGAACAACAAAGACTACTCAGGAGCGTCAAATAGGTGGTGCAAGAATCTGGCGATACGATATAAATCACAATACGGGGGAAATACAGGGGAGACAATACGATATATGACGATACTAAAAGCCAGACAATATTTGCGATTTTTAAATCAGAATTTCACTGGAAAACTCAGTCTTCCAACAAGACACATATAGCCTGGCCTGCCAGACTCGTCCTCTGTTTAATTCTGCACAGAGACAGAGTCTGGTAACTCACAGGCAGAGAGGCACTTGAGGGGCGGGACTAGGCAGCTCAGAAATAACCAATCAGATAAAAGACGGAAATGCCGACTGTACCGCGCGACGCTGCAGTATTTTTAGCTGCAGTAAAAACAGGCGTCTGGCAAACATCTTTTATTTTTTTTTAGAAGAAATGCTTTTAGTGCTTCCACTTGTTGCTTTAAAGACATTCAAGTCCTTTAGAACAGAGAAAAGAGCCGCAGCGAACGTCGCCGCTGTCTTCGTTGTTTATGAGAAACTGAGCATCGCTGTGTGTGACGTCCGCGACGCTGTAGCTTTTCAGCTGTAGTCAAAAATGGCGTCTGGCGACAGCGAAAACATATTTCTTTAGAAGAAATGCTTTTAGCGCTTCTACTTGTTGTTTTAAAGACGTGTCCAAGTCATTTAGAACAGAGGAAAGAGCCGCAGCGAACTCTGCTTCAGTCACCATGTTTATGACAAACTCGGCATCGTGGTGTGTGACGTACGCTACTCAGCGCTGATTGGCTCGGTTAGAATTCTCAGGGGGTGGGGTTATTTGAATGAGAACTTTAGATCATTTTCCATTTAATTGAATCACCACGATGGGCAACATTACGCTTGTTTTTGCAGCTTTTTATTTTTAATTTTTTTTACTTCAGTACCTAACATTAACTAAAAGTGCACAGTGCTGACAGAGCACTGGGACGAGGCCTAGTACTTGGCTCTGTGTGATGAGTCGACAGATTCCTACCATCTCCTGTCACCGTGCTGTCACTACTCCACACAGGTGCATGTTGACGTGCTGCCTGTGCTCCAGGCTCCTTCGGGTGCTCTTTCCATCCTGATGAGAGCTGCTGTCTCAGCTGATCAGGGGGAAGTGTTTTTAGTTTCAGAAAAGGGAGTTGTGGCCAGATAAAAAGTTACCTCAGAGTAACAGGATTAGAGGCTGATCTCTGAGCAGTGGGTACCAATTGACATCAGCACCAGGTCAGGAGGAGCACGGGTGAATTAAAAGGAAAGGAACACTTGTGCAAACTTCTACTTATTTGCTAATTATGTTGGAGAAGCTGTTGATCCTTCCTCTTTTCAGAAAGGCACATCCAGTCCATCGCTCGTCTTTATTCTTAGAATGAAGCCTCCTTCTCTAGCGGGTTGCACCCGCTGCTGGGAGATGGTCGACAAAGAAACAAAGAAAACGCTACTCATTTCTCAGAAATCAGCTCTCCTGGTGGCTGCTTTCCTGCTGAGGTGCTTGATTGAGTTCACAGTAGAAGTTGCCAGTTTGGTACCTAAGCAGAGGGCTGACTTCAAAGTAAAGAGAAAAAAAAAGATGAAACCTAAAGTAAAAGCTGGGGATGAGCCGAAAGAGAGGAGAGGTTTTTAATAAGGTCAGAACTAAGGGGCAAAAGGTCTGTGAGTCAAAGCTGCACATCAAATTTCTTCATCAAGTTAATCACATACTGAGAGGGTGAGGAGAGGAGTGCTGTGTTGCAGCGGCCGAGGTGTCCGAACGTCTTCAGTCACATTTAAGATCAAATGTGTGGCGTGTTTTAGCGAAGAGTGTGCAGCTGCTGATGGTCTCTTTATGTCTTCATTTTCCACAGGAGAGGTTTGAAGCCTTGTTTAGGATCTACGATGAGCAGGTGACTTTCCAGATGTTCAAGAGCTTCAGGAGAGTCCGGATCAACTTCAGCACTCCCGAGGCGGCCGCTCGAGCCCGCATCGAGCTGCACGAGTCAGAGTTCAACGGCAAGAAGTTAAAACTCTACTTTGCCCAAGTGAGTTTCTACGATCAAGGGGAAAGCACAGAATTAAAGCTCTGCGGCGTTCTCGCTAACATGCACTCGGCATGGGGCCATGGCCAACCCTGGAAGATTTCTGGCCACCCCACCAATACTCTTCAGTAAATCATAATCATGTTCACACAAAACATATTACTCTTATCAAGACAAATGTGAAAGTTAATAAATAAAATGTATATCTATTGAGTAAATAAATCACAATTTAAATAAATGTTGCAGAGGCTCACCACTTCAATAGTTTTTGTGTATTCTTTTAAGACCACAACAGTGATTTAAACCATTCTAAAACACTAAAACAATACATTTTGAAACAATAAATAAAATGATTCATGTATTTTTTCTGAAATGTTTGGGTTTCTCAAATTGTCAGTCAATGTGTTGCAATGCTTGCACATACATGCTTGACAAGTAATTAAAATTGCGCCCACATTTTCGGAGTTAACACACATCTCTTCAGTGGCGGAGTGGTAATCTGGAAAAACGGGAGATTTCCCGGTGGCCTGGCCGTTAAACTGGCCCGCTCAGTAATTGCCGGTCATGACTAGCGTAATATCTAAATGAGCAATCCGTCATGCAGCTCATCGGGGCATCTGCTGTCCTGATGCTTGCACAAATGGAGCAAACTGGGCACAAAGACACCCCCTCCTTTCACTTTGTTGGGGTCTGGCAAAGTGCTGCAGACACCCACCACCCAGAGCGGCTTCAGCACCACCGCACCTTTGGCCCCAGAGGCACAATGGACCTAGACGGACCAGGAAAGGTGGAGCAGAAAAGGAGAGATTGAAAAAGGAAGAAAGCTCTGGCCACAGATGCATGTCCAGGCTGGTCTGTATGTGGTCATGTTGGGAGAACCGGTTTAAGGTGGAGTTTTTGGGCCAGTTTAATTATAACTCAACGCGCAATGCTGGGCACGTGGGGTGGGTTGGAGAGGGAGAAACAGCGGCTGTCAGGAACGGATCATGATGATCAGGTTCTGGTAATCAGATCATCAGACTCATCCTTTAGGGACAGAGAGCAGTGCATTGGACCGGTACCAGCACCGCCGCCACTTCTAAATATAACCTTTCAGCATACCAGCACTTTTTCTATGATGCAGTGCATACCGGTAAATTTTCCAGGTATTCATTAGTCCAAATCTCAGAGATTTTTGAAAAGGTATCTGTGTGTCCTATAACAGTCATCCACAGTCTGGCACGAGCTCCATGAACGGCCACATTTTAGGCAAAAGGCGCATCACTGCCGCGAGGCGCGCCGTACGTCACCATCAGCTCAGGCAGAGGAGAGAAATTAAAACTGTTTCCCCACACCGTACACATTCCCGCAATGACTGACAGCAGCAACATTGTGATTTCCTGCATTATGCATGTGAATATTATGAGGAAAACTCCCCCCTAGTGAGCTCCTGAACCCTCAAAATTAATCACAATTAAATTGTGTTAGTTTTTTTCCTGTGAGACAAACGAGAAGAATATTAAAGTTTTCCACAAATCCACAGATAAAAAATCAGGATTAAGAGGAATTTCATATTTTTCACAACTTAAATATAATTTCTAATAGCAATATTTTAATGTCAGTTTAGCCACAAATATCTGCTTCCAGTGAAATATGTCAACCGAGTGAAAGTGATGGCGCTTTTTTCACAAAAGCATCAGCAGTCATGAGCCCTGCAGCACCTCCTTGTGCTCTGACGTAACAGGATTAAGGATTTTATAGCTCTGACAAAAGCCACATGTAGGTATCATAATTACAGCAATCAAAACACGAAAAACCCCATTAAGGGAATGAACCTGCAATTAGACGTTTAGAGGAGTCCAACTGGGACTTTTTTGTTGTAAGTAGCACCATTAAATGTTGGAAAAATAAATTAAAGAGAACAGGAACTTTGACATTAGAAATAATCTGATACTAAACTTAAAATCACACTTATTTATTTTTTATGTGAATGGAAAATAAATGTAAAGACTTTGCTTTTCTGGCACTAGTAAGAAATGACCGTTTTATTTTTACAATGTTTTACATTTCCTCTGCACATTTCCTCGCTCTTTCTCCAACAGATCCAGAACGGCGATGAGGACATTGACAAGTCGTACCTGGCGCCTCCCCAGCCCGTCAAACAGTTTCTGATCTCACCACCTGCCTCGCCGCCCGTGGGCTGGAGCCAGAGCGAAGACGCTACGCCCGTCATCAACTACGACCTGCTGTGTGCCGTAGCTAAGCTAGGACCGGGTCAGTGGCACATCATTTTAAAAGGAACAATATTTAAATTATTCTTAACATGGATACATACAGGAAATGATGTCACTCACTGAGTTGTTGAACACACAGGAAATGCCTCTGAATCAGAGTTGACTGGGCAGATATTCATGAATCAGTGTTTTTATTCCTGACCTTTATTAGTAAAGGAGGCAGAATCAGGACTGGATTTTTTTAACTGTTGATTTTTCTGTCAAAATATTAATATTAAAATGTCATTTACTTATTTATTTCAAATCAGGTTTATTGTCATTATGTTCATAACAGAGTACAAACACAACGAAAGTGTTTCTTCATCGAGATCCATCTGAGTCACATGCTCCATACATACACAGCTCTGCTAAATTTAAAAACAATTACTAAAATGGTGTTAAAAATGATAATAAATAAGAATAAAAGCTCCCGGTGAATGAAACTCATACACGTGCACCCACCCACACACACACGCACGCACATGCACACACAGAGACGATCACACCCACCCACACACAACTCTCCATACATGTACGCGCGCAATTCACACTGGACTTTGCAGGATTTTTTAAAGTGCTAGTATCTCCTGCTCACAGTCCAGTTGTATTTAGCAGCCATACAGCCTGAGGCAGGAAGCTGTTCAGTAGCCTCGTAGTGGAGCATCTTATGCTGCGATAATGCTTCCAGGAGGGTGAAAGCTGAAAGAAGCAGTTCAGGGGATGTGTGAGGTCCTCCACAAGGTTCAGGGCCCTGCCTCTGCAGCGGCTCAGGAACAGATCCTGGACAGAGGGAAGGGAGATTCTCAGAACCCTTTCTGCTGATCTCACCACTCTCTGGAGGGCCCTTTTGTCCGTCATATTGCAGCTAGAGAACCAAGTAGAGATTGCATAGGTCTGCACACTCTCCATTGCCCCCCTGTCACTGCCACCCGCTTCCGGTCGGTAACAAGATGGCGCCTGTGCTTGGCCTAGCTGCGGTCACCGGCCACTTTTTCAAACTTTTCTCCACTAACCTCCTCTTTTCCACCTTGCTTCTGTCTGCGATCCTCTTCAGTAGTGTCCCTGCTACCATCTCCTATGATCGCCAGACTCTTTTGTCCTTCCGTTCGTTCACGATGGCCCAAGATGCACCGAGGACGTACCATCCTGTTTGTTTACCTGATCGGCGTACTGGCCCGGAGCTAGGGCTGCAACAAACGATTATTTGGATAATCGATTAATCAGATGGGGTCTCGACACGATTAATCGATTAATCGGATTACATGGGGAAATTTTTAAAAACTGCTAGGGAAACGTTATTTCTCTCCTTCCTTCACTTTATTTAACACAACATTATTAGAAAACAGTTCAATAGCAGAAAAACAACATGCCATCACCTAAATTGTCTTATAAGGTGTATAGACAGAGACCCTAAGCTACATCTATCTGTGACCTAAAATGCTTGGTCCAAGTTAAACAGCTTAAGGGCAATTCTCATCTGTTTTGTTTGATCTCATCTGTTGACATTTATTTTAAATGTAATTAAACATAGGCTGTGAATTTATCAAAATTGATCACTATTTCCAAAAATGACTGAAAAAATACCAAATAAAACAAAAGTAAATGAATGCCATCCTCCTTGCGATGATGCCCTGGGCAACTGCCATAAAGTCACATCAAGAAATGCTGCTGATCATTCCAATGATCCCAAATAGACTCACATTAGGCCACATGAAAGCAACTGAACCCAAAAATATATTAACCAGTATATAACTGCACTCTCACACAACACGCCTGCAGCAACAGTTAGGACTCCTCCCTCCCTTTTAAAAGCGTTTTTGCTTCTGAGGACATTGTGGTTGTAAAACCACATGCTAGTAGTCTGGCCCCGGTGTGATCAACCAGTTTCTGCGGGAATGTGACGGCGGAACCAGGGCCAGATTAACATTTTGTTGTACCCTGGGCAACAATATTCAAGGGCTCCATCATCACGACCCAAGGATCACCATAATATGGTCACATACAGAATATTTTACTGTAATATGCAGTAAATATACTCAATACTTGAATGCCTGACAACACGTAACCCGCCCAGAGTAACCTTTGACCCACCTCGTGTGGACTGACCAATGAGGAGAGGGTCTTAACTTGAGGCCCTCTCTTCATTGGTCAGTCTGCATGAGACTGACTCTCAACTGACGTTCAGTCGTAGGCAGCGAAGCGTCTCTGTGCAGTGCAAAAGCCCGGGTGGACAGTTTGTTTAATGTAGGGTGACCATATTTCCATTTCCAAACAAGAGGACAGGGGATCTGTGCCTATGACGTCACACTATGGCAACGCCACACAAACCATGTTGGGACCCATTTTTTGTAAGAACTAAATTAATATCAGATTCTGCCAATTAAAGGGCTCTAAAACAATTCATATGTAAATATTTTGCATATTTAATGCAAAATCTAATTTTTCTGCTTTAGTGCTGCAACAAGGTTTTATTAATAATAAATTATTATACCTTTTGTTTTACTACAGCATCGGTAAGCTTCCTGTGCACAGATTATTAAGGATGCTTGTTTCAACTGTGAGATTAGACGATAGGATCAATGAAAAAATAAGTTGTCACAAACTCCATGGAAACTTTCAGAGAATCCACAAATAGTGGCTTTCAAATGGTTTTGTTACTTTTTGCAAGTTTATAAAATAAGCAGATGAGACAGCATGTCTGATAATTTAGTTTTTCATCTGATAATATTAGAGCATGTCAGTAATGTCTGAGGGGCTTTTATAAACACCATATAACTAATACTACTGGAGAGGGCATGAATTACACAGAGGCTTCTGGGGAGCCCAGTTATTGGGGGGGGGGGGGGGGGGCATTTTGCCTTGGCCCCCAAAATGTCTTGAAACGGCCCTGGGTGTGTGACTGAGTTTTGAAGGTGATCTGAATTGTATCAGATGTATAAATGTGACATGTGTATAACTTATTGTTTTTTACTGGTAAAAACGTGTAGTGGAGATAAATCTACCTACATTTTACTTTTCAACACTTTGTTTTGTTTTCTTGTTTTTATTGAACTATTTTCCTGTCCTGTCTGTCTCTCATCTTCCTGCATCTCCTCTTAATTCTCCAGAAAATCTGTTGCCTGGATTCTTACCTTTTCACCTCATCAGTTACTTTTGAGCAGGTCAAAGGGATCTCCTGACCGAAAAGCGCAGAGCGCGTTTTCGATGCTGCGTGAGGTGACATCACCACAGCACAGGTGATGAGCTCCGCAGTAGCGCGCTTCAGGCACAAATAAGACAGAAAATAGAGAACATGTGCGGACATGAACGATCGTGTGCTAATTATAGTTTTTTGGTTGCGCCACTTTGAGAATGGACCGTGCGCTGGAAGCAGCTGCCTGGATCGCTGTGCAACAATGCGGAACCGGTTCGCAGCAGCTCAAGTCTGCCGGCTCTCCCTCGCGCTGATCTGCCTGTACCGGCTCTCCCTCACGCTGATCTGCGGCTCTCCCTCGCGCTGATCTGCGGCTCTCCCTCGCGCTGATCTGCCGGCTCTCCCTCGCGCTGATCTGCGGCTCTCCCTCGCGCTGATCTGCCGGCTCTCCCTCGCGCTGATCTGCGGCTCTCCCTCGCGCTGATCTGCGGCTCTCCCTCGCGCTGATCTGACTTGCTCTGGTCTGCGCGCAACGGCGGGTGGGAAGGGGGGGCGCTTTTGGAAGAGTTGTGCGACACAACGAATCGATGACGCAATTCGTTGCCAACGCTTTTAGTAATCGATTTTCATCGAATTTATCGATTCGTTGTTGCAGCCCTACCCGGAGCCAAATGATTCCTACCAGGACACCTCCAGCAATGTTTATCCGGTCCCAGGAAAACGTCGGAGGAAAAGAGGTAAACGAGCAGGAATCCAGGTGAGAATAAGACTTCTCTTAAAGCGTGGTTTATCTAGTAAACATCGGCGTGATCTTCTAGCTTGTCCTTTGTTTGGCGACTTGTGCGCCACTTCCGCATTCCCGCCAGGCCGCGTTGCGACGCGGTTTCTCCATCCAATTTTTTTAATGTCGGTTTATCCTCATTCCTCAGTGGTTTCTCCTCCTGTTCCCTCCATAAGTGGTTTTTATAAACACCGTGCATCTAACCCTGCTAACTTACGTCCACTAACTCTAGCTGTTTCTGTAGTTTCTGATTCCTCCACCTCACTCAGCATGGCTCTATTAAACACCCACTCTGTTAAAAATAAGTCCTTCCTGCTCAATGATCTAATTCTCTCTAAAAACCTGGATTTTCTGTTTCTGACTGAAGTTTAGCAGCAAACATCTGATTATTCTGCTCTGATTGAACTCTGCCCGAGTGGTTATTCGTTTCTTAGCCAGCACCGGGGTTCTGGTCGTGGTGGAGGCTCTACAACCTCTGGTCACTTTGCTTCCTTTGAACTGCAGCTGATTAAAGTCGGACGTATGGACCCGTTCGCCTGTGCTGTGGTTTATCGTCCACCTGGTCCAAACGGTTCTTTCCTTCAGGAGTTTAGTGACTTTCTATCCTCCACTGTGAAGCTGTCCAGACTGGTGATTGTTGGTGATTTTAACATCCACGTTGATGACCCCTCTGATCACTTTGCCATGAATTTCTCCAGCCTTATGGACTCCTTCTGCTTTATCCAGCATGTTTCTGGCCCCACACACACCAGGCACCCGGGCACACTCTAGACCTTGTTTTTACCCTGAGTCTAAATGCTGACAGTGTTTGTCCTGAGGATGTTTATATTTCAGATCACCATTGCATTTTCTTTAACTTGTCAGTTTCTGCGTCCCCACCTCCTGCTCGCCGTTTGGTTAGTTCTCGTTTTCTTAATGAGAGCACAGCTAGCAATTTTTCTGCTGCTTTTGATCCACCCTGTTCTTCTGATAACGACCCAGATTCTTTAACTTCTCAGTTCAACAAGCACTGCCTCTCCATTCTGGACAACATCTGTCCTGTCAGAACCAGATCAGTTCCTGCAGTGAACCCTACTCCCTGGTTTAATGACAGCCTTCGCAGCCTGAAGCGCCAATGCAGAATAATTGAGCGCTTGTGGAAGAAAACCCATCTCCACGTCCATCTGCTGCACCTAAAGGATCTTCTGACATCCTTTAACTCTGCAGTCAGAGACGCTAGGGTTTCCTATTTCTCCAACCTGGTGTCCCAGAGCAAAGGGAACCCCAAGGTGCTGTTTAACACCATCAGCAGCATCGTCTCGCCTGCCTCTCCTACAGCCTCCATCCACTCTGTTACCGACTTTGAGAACTTTCTGTCTTTCTTTGTGGACAAAGTCAATAAGGTTAGATCTAGCATCTCTCCTTCAGCCTTATCTCTGCCTCTCCCGACTCCAACCAGGCCCATCATCCTAGATAGCTTTGCTCCTGTTTCTTTGACTGAGTTAACCAAACTAGTTAACTCAATGAAGACCTCTGCATGCCCCCTCGAAATCTTACCCTCATCTTTGTTTAAGAGTGCTTTTCAGTCCATCGGTCCCAGCGTGCTCTCTATAATTAATGCTTCTCTGGTTTCTGGTCAGGTCCCTGCTTACTTTAAGAACGTTGTAATCCACCCACTTCTTAAAAAACCGAGTCTTGACGCCTCTCTCCATAGCAGCTTCAGACCCATCTCTACACTTCAGTCCATCTCCAAGATCTTGGAAAAGGTTGTGGCTAAACAACTCTCAGCTGCTCTTGATGAACATAACATCTATCATTGCTTACAGTCAGGTTTTCGTAGAGCTCATTCTACTGAAACAGCTCTTCTTAGGGTCTCTAATGACTTTCTGACTCACAGTGATGCAGGTGACTGTTCTGTTCTGGTCCTGCTGGACCTGACTTCAGCCTTTGACACTGTTGACCATCACCTGCTACTGGAGAGGCTGAGAGACTGGGTAGGCCTATCAGGAACTGCTCTGGAGTGGTTCTCTTATCTTTCTGAGCGCTCCTTTTCTGTGGCCGTCTTCAAGTTTAGGTCCTCCACCACCTCCCTTACCCATGGTGTCCCACAAGGTTCTGTGCTGGGGCCTCTGCTCTTCCTCCTCTAACTGCTTCCTCTTCAGCACATCCTGAGCTCCTTCAAAGGAATCTCCTACCATCTTTATGCAGATGACATCCAACTGTACATCTCCTTTAAGCCCCATGAGATGTCTAAGCTGCAGCTGTTACACTCCTGCTTAGACTCTATCAAAACCTGGATGGCTGGGAGCTTTCTTCAGCTGAATGAAGATAAGACTGAGATCCTCATCTGTGTCCCAGACAAGCTGGTTCCCAAAGTCAGAGACTCTCTTGGTCAGCTTGCTTCTCACACCAAACCTTCCATCAGGAATCTTGGCGTGACCTTTGACCCAGCTCTCACCCTGGATTCTCATGTCGGTTCTCTTGTTCGCTCTTCCTTCTTCCATCTCAGGAACATTGCTAAGCTGAGTCCCATTCTGTCTCGCTCTGAACTTGAGACAGTTATCCACACCTTCATCTCCTCACGCTTAGACTACTGTAACTCTCTTTTCACGTGTCTGAGGAAAACCTCCCTGAACCATCTACTGGTGGTTCAGAATGCCTGTGCTCGGCTTCTGACCAAGTCCTCCAAACACATTCACATCACCCCGCTTCTCCTCCAGCTTCATTGGCTGCCAGTCAACTTCAGGGTTCATTTCAAGATCCTGGTTCTGGTCTATAGGGCCTTACATAGACAAGCACCATCTTACATTGGTGATTTTCTTAGTCCCTACACCCCCAGTAGGTCCCTGAGGTCCAGTGATCAAAGCCTACTGGTTGTGCAGCGCACCAGGCTAAAGACCAAAGGTGGCAGATCATTTGCTGCTGTGGCCCCCAGACTCTGGAACTCTCTCCTCCTGAGCCTGAGATCAGTGGACTCAGTGGTCTCCTTCAAAAAGCAGCTGAAGACTCACTTGTTCAAAGTGGCTTTTGTATGATCTTCTTCACCACTCTCTCTTTATTCTGCTCTCCCACCTATTCCACCTTCCTCAGGATCCACTGATTTCCCTCTTTCCTATTCACTCTCTCTCTTTCTTAACATTTTTGAATCACAGTTGTCTATGTTTTGCTCATTTTAAATATATTTTAACCATTTTCTACAATCTTTTTTATATTTTTACATTTTTTGTTTTTGTGAAGCGCCTCGTGATTTTTATCTTGAGAGACACTAGAAATGATATCACATGTATTGATGCATGATCAAAGCTTTCTTCCTGAGAGAGTGGGAGTGTCCTGGAGCTTGGTAAAACTATCCATCCCGAGCTTCAGAACGAGTTCTTGAACCAACACCAGGAGAAAGAGGAACAGCCGTCCCTGAATCTCCACCTGCTGTTCAGTCACGCCGACTAGAATAAGCTAAAGAATAAACGAACTGTAACCAGCTAACGAAGACTCTCCCAGAGTCATTGATTTCTGAGTTAAGCTAAAAGATGAAAAACTCCTTCACAGTTACGGATCTTGAGACGCAAATCGTTCCACCAGTCGAGTGACCCAAGGAGACATCTCAGGACTGATCTGGTCGCATAGAGGTTCTTCTACCAACCTCGTGCCTGGAGAAAACCATCTCCACCTGGACACTTCGGATCCGAAGGAGGGTCTTCTGTAGACTTCGACAGATTGCGTCTGATGCTGTTTCTCTCTAAATAACTTGGTTAGCCTCAAAACATCATCTTCATCCAGACCGCTTCCAACTCTCTGGGAAAGAAACCTTCTCATAACTTCATTCACGCATCCAAACTCGTATTTTCCATTTAGCTTCCATTCAGGCACAGGTTTGCTTTTAAAACAAGTTTAATATCAAAGCTGTTGAAAATTGTCATTAAAATTGCCATCCATGAATTGTCATTTTATAATTGTCGTCTCAAATCTCTAAGTTTAAAATTGTTAGTAATAAAATTTCTTCATTTTTAAACTTGCCTCCTTATTGAAACGGAACACAGAAAAGGTATTTCTGGTTATTTGAAAGCAAAGATCCTAGTTTCTGATTTAAAAAACCTTTGCTATTAAATTTAATTATCTAAATTAAACATTAATTTTTGGATTTAAAATTAGAACAAACAGGTTGATGTATGAACTTAGTATCCGGGATATTTATATATGATCTAAGCCTCATAGGTTAATCTGATTGGTCATTTTTCGGAATCTCCACTGAATAGCACAGAGGTGATTTCAGTATGCAGATTTAACTCTACATTAGGAAGTACATTCTCTGATGAGCTCGCTTTACTAGACCTGAGGTGTTCTTTGCCCAGCTGAGGTTGTCAGAGATCTGTATGCCCAGGAACTTGATGTTCTCGACTCTTTCGACTTCACATTCATTTATGTAGAGGGGAGTGTGCTTTGTTTGAGATTTCATAAAATCAACAATAATTTTCTTGGTCTTGTCCACTATGAGCGCCAGATTATTTACTCTGCACCAGCTCTCAAACAGCTTGACCTCTCTGTAACCGGATTCATCATTCCTGTGAATCAGACCCACAACTGTGGTGTCATCAGCAAATTTGACGATCAGATTGTTCTTATGTCTTGGCACACAGTCGTGGGTCAACATAAAGCAGTGGGCTGAGCACACATCCTTGGGGGGCACCTGTGCTCGGCGTGATGGAGTTGGAGGTCTTATTCCCAACACGAACTGTCTGTTGTCTCTCAGTCAGAAAATCCAGTGTCCAGTGACAGAGGGTGTGGTCAAGTTCCAGATATTTATTTATTTATTTATTTATTTATTTATTTATTTATTTATTTATTTATTTATTTATTATCAATCCATTTTGCTATCTGCAATCCAGCAGGGGCAATGGTTGAAAATAATGAGTATAAAACAAATTGTGCACATTTGAGACAAACTTTAGCTGTTTTTGCATGAAGATGAGACTTGAAGTGCAGCCGTTTACTGACATGTTGAGATCTGACGCATTACTCGGGGCTTGTTTCTGTGCATTTTGACAAAAAAGCCTGTGTTTTTATGCAAATGAGTGTGGATTTGTCTTTGCACTTATAGAAAAAAAGTAATCTCTTTTACCCTGCAGACAGATGCATATTTAGCTCTCAAATCTAAGTTGACACCAAGTGTATTTCAGGTGATTTAAGAGATCCTTTGATCTGGAAACTTGGTGTTTACAGGCTTAAAAATTGTGATGACCGTTGGAAAAACATCTCCATGTTTGTTGTGTATTTCTGTCTCTGTATGTGGGTTCAGGTTTGCTGATGAAGTGGGGAAAAAAAGCAGATATTTTTGTCAGCAAAAACACAATAATACTTTCCACATTCTCACAAACGCCCAGCGCAGAGCACTGCTTTCTGCTGTTGCCATAGAAACATGAAGCATCAGGAAATGGCTTTGTTCCTGGCCTCACATCCTGCCATCTGAAATCAGATTAGAGCTGGGGCGCAGCACGGCGCACTGACTCCCCCTGTCAGCTCCCGGCAGTAACAGCAGGACTCCATTCACTGCCCATCTTTGTTTTTGGCACCACAGCAAACAAGTAGCAGTCCAATTTCCTTCTGTCTGCCAGCTGTCTGATCCCATCTCCATGGCAACCGTGATACAATCTAGCAAGTGTGTGTTTTCCATCAGAGTCCATGGAGTTTGGACAAATAACTGGACTATTTTTGGAAAATCTCTTTGTTTCCTTTTGAATCGATGTTCTGAGCATTCACCTGCGCTTGAACAAGCAATTGTTTTTGGCTGCCTGTGCTTCCTGTTGACTAATTGTAACCAACTCTTTTCTCTTTTCATCCTCCGCAGGGGAAAAATACGAGCTCCACGCGGGGACGGAGTCTACCCCCAGTGTGGTGGTGCACGTGTGTGAGAGCGAGACGGAGGAGGACGAGGCGGTTCGGCCAAAGCAGCAGATCGTCCAGACCAGACGTCCCGACGGCGCCCCTAAGGTTTTCAACTAAAGAAGACCCCTTTCGTCCACAGGAGGCCGGCGCGGCCCCCTCGACCGCCCTTTAAACTCGCGACACACCTGCCCTCTCTCTCTCGTCTCTGCACTCACAGAGAGCGTCGATGCGCCTCATTTCAGTTTAACTCCAAAGCAAAAACAACAAACATTTGCTTGAAGACAGTGTTTGTGGGGAGCGCGGCGATGGAATGAGGCAGCTTGAAGGGAATGGATGAGAATCACACATACACACTCATCACATTCTGCGGACAGCGTGGGGAGCAGCGGGCATGCTCGCCTCCAAACCCACCGACCCCGCCCCTCCCTCCTTCTGGTTTTCAGCAAGAGGGGCCAAAATACCTGTCCCAACACAGGCACAACTGTATCACACACCCAGCTCTCATTAGTGGTCACATGCTTGCTCGTCCGTTAGCGTGTTAGCCTCACCCTTCACATCACAGTCATATGTACAGTCATTGTTGGCTGAGAACATGAAACACCTCAACAACCAAGCATTTTTTTATAATCAATTGTGTGTTGACTATATATATATATATATATATATATATATATATAATATATATATATATTTTGTGTTATTTTCTTTTGTTTTACATCTGCAGGTTAGCTGCTTCAGCTTACATCCAGACTGAGTGTGTCGCTCTTCTCTGCATGTATATACTGTATTACAAAACAAATACTAACAAGTTAAACAAAGGGGAAAAACACCTATTTAACATCTCATTCAGCGCCAAGCACCATATGTGACTAACAAAGTTGTGGTGATTGTTTTTGAATTTCTTCATCCCTTTTTTGTTTGTTTGCTTAAAAGTTTTTTCCAGAGGTGTTATTTGCTGAATTACTCGATGTGTATTCTTGCTCTGCGTATTTGGTACCCTGATATTTTTTGCATGCCTAGTTAAGGTGAGCTGCTGAGGTGTTTATTTTTATTTTTTTATTTTGTTTGTGATGACGGGGCATTAGAGATATTCCCATGTCCTTGCTGGAGATTAAAGCTGAAAGAGATGCAGACAAATCTTCAGCTTAAGGGCAGATTTGTTGAAGTTTGATGGATCAGAGACATTTCATCCCCCTTATTTCTTCAAAGGTTTGGGGATGTTGTGCATTTTGGTGTATTTTGACATCCTTTTTGTATGAATTATCAGGTTTGATTAAACCTTCCTTGTATGCATTTGAGTCTGCTCATTTTGCACTGAGAATCTCCTGATGTCTCTAAGAAATTGTAGGTTTTCGGCCGTCGTTCCGACGAGCAGCGGAGCATTGTGCTGCTTATTTCTGGTGAACAGCAAACACGCGGCAATGCTTTTTTTATGAGAAAAAGGATGAAAAACCAGGTTGTCTCATGAGACACCAACCAAAGCATTCACTCACCTCGCATCAATTCATTTTTCTGATTCTGAGCAAATTAAGGAAATCATTTTTCATGACTTTATTCAGTTTTAATGTTAATGTTATGTTAATATTTTGAGGAAATTTGAACGAATGCATTATTTATTTATATCTGGGGGCGAGAAATTTATTTGACAAATGAAGATGTTGGATGTAAGTGCTCTATAATAAGTGTTTTGTTGCTTTTTGTTTGCATAATAAAATTTAGAAAATGATTTCATTAATTTTTTTTTTGTTATGTTTGTTTAAACACCTTGTTAGCCTTTTGGACAGCTCAAACGCTCCACTTCTTTTTTTTTGCTCATGCAAACCTTTCGGGACTTTCGGATCCGCTGTTCTTGAGGTTTTTAAAAGATGCAGCAGAACACAAAGAATTGCATGAAACGTTCATTTTATTGTCAGAAAGCTCCTTGCAAATGAACGGTGTTGACGGAACAGACTTTTTATTTTTGCAGATGTCTGGGCAGACATCAGGCTGGTGGAGCTTCAAAGGTGGAGGGTGATTTCTAGAAAAAAATGGCAACAGAGCAGGAGGAAACATTTTTTACTGTGATGTCGGAGGTTAAAACGGGTGCACTTTGGTCACAGTTGAGAAGAAAGTGTATATTTCTGTAAATAAGCAAAGTGTTTTTCTTCTCTTGCTGAGGCCATTCTCAGTGTGCAGTTTGTTATATTTAGCTTCTCTTCGCTCTGTTGTAACAGAAAACCAACAAAAAAATTATTAAAATGTAACAAGATGCTCAATTAAATCCAACTGTCATGGTGTTATTGTTCCACGTGGACTTGGTTTGTTTATTTCTTTTTTATTTATTTTCCGGGGAACGTCTGCTGACTACACTGCTGTCGCTGTCGTATGTTTCCGTTCTTCTGAATATCGTGTCTTGTATTGTAGGAATCCTGAAAAACAAAAGTAGCAAAACAAGCAATAATTTCCAGTTCTCGATTACCAGTATTTGTATTTTACATGTTCTGTACTTATTTCTTGGACTCTGCCTCCGTCTAGGACGATATCTGCTTCTATCTGTGTAGTAAAATAGTCCGTTGTTTCACATAAAAACATTACATAAAGAAATATTCCTAAAAACATGTTTTGTGTAGTTTTTATTTTTATTTTTGATTTCATATATTTTTGTTCCTCAGGTTGAAAGTGAGGCTGCGCAGTGGTGCAGTGGTTAGGGCTGTTGCCTTGCAGCAAGAAGGTCCTAGGTTCGCTTCTCGGCCTGGGATCTTTCTGCATGGAGTTTGCGTGTTCTCCCTGTGCATGTGTGGGTTCTCTCTGGGTGCTCTGGCTTCCTCCCACAGTCCAAAAACATGACTGTTAGGTTAATTGGTCTGTCCAAATTGTACTTAGGTGTGTGTGTGGGTGCATGATTGTTTGTCCTGTGTGTCTCTGTGTTGGACTGGCTCTCTGTCCAGGGTGTCCCCCACCTGATTGCCAGTTGACCGCTGGAGATAGGCACCAGCCCCCCCATGGTTTTTAAACCAAAAACATGTTTTGGTTCCAGGCTGTAAACATGTTTATTTCTACTGTGAAATTGGTATTTTTAACATGGGAGTCAATGAGGATTTGCTCGCTTCTGACACCAGCCCCCAGCGGATGAGGGTGGAGCTGCAATTTTTGGTACTTCCGGGATTGCTTAAATTTTTGAGCCGCATTGTGGGGGCTTGGAGGCAACAAACGACCACAATCAGCAAAATTCGTCACCGTCACTTTTATTACCTGACACACGGGAGGCGACCCGCGGCAACGGCCAGCGGCAAAGCTGTCGACGCGTTCTGTTCCATGGCAAAATCGAATCTTCCGTTGTTTTGATTGGCTGTGTCAGGTTGGAGGGAATCAAGGTTATTTAAGTGGTTCAGAGTTTAAAAAGTGTTAGATATGATGTTTCACAAGGTGCTGCTAGAGTTATGCGGCTCTGGCGCAGAAGCCGCAGGGCAAAGAGGTGCCAGCTGTGGCGGTGAAGGTGAACGGGACCATGGTCGTGGAGGCTGGTGTCTTCTCCCAGCCTGGCAGCAGGCCTGTGCAAGAAATGTGCCGGCATATACTAATGATAGTAACCAACAATTTCCCATGCCACGGCCTTTTTGTGAATATCTCTATATTCTCTGGTAGGATTATTGTACAGTTCTGGGAAATCTGTCACAGTAAGTAACAACTTCTCCTCCATGTTTGCTCGGAGATGTACAGAGCATCGTGTCCGCTCGTTGGTCAGCGAATGAAACCTCCGTTGATTGGTCCTCATCCGAGTGACAGCGATGAAAAGTTGAAAATATTTCAACTTTCTGGGATCGCGTTGCTGAGTCGCATGTGCACGACACGTGCACGAGCGCAAAATTTCACATGCACATTTCTTGCGTTTCGCTTCGTAGGAGGGAGACCCGTGTTTATCGTTTTGTTGTGCATATCTCATTGAAAATGAATGAAGGAGAGGTGAGGTCGCCTCCCGTGTGTCAAGCCCATTGTGGTGTGTGACGTACGCTACTCAGCGCTGATTGGCTTGGTTTGAATTCTCAAGGGGTGGGGTTATTTGAATAGGAGAGTTCCCAGACCCCTTCTCTGTACAGAATTAAACAGAGGCGGAGTCTGGCAGGCCAGAGCTTCTCAACTTATAGCAGCCTGAGTGGGGGATAAGTGGGTGTGGCCATCTTCATTTGGTTTTCTTAAAGAAGTGGTCATCCCCCCCCCCCCCCCCCCCAGAGTCTTACTCCACCCACGTATCAATTTTAACACTGCAACATTAGTAGGCGTTGCCTGGAGGACCGAGAGGGCGGAGCCGCGGCAGTGACAAAGACGATGGGTAACGAGACGATGCTAACTCCCTTCACTCTGAGCAGTTATTAGAAGTGGAGGACGTTTCTCCCCCTCCTTACCCAGACATTCAAGAAGAAAGGGACCAAGTCTATTTGGAGGAGGCAAGCGGACCTGAGCCTTAAGCCCCATTCCCACCTGTACCGGGTCGGCCCGGGCCGGGTAGCGTAGGTTGTTTACATATCTGGGTGGCCTGGAATTTTACCAGGCCAACCAAGGCTCATTCTTGGCCCTCTTCCCAAGGGGTACTGCTTCAGGCCGACCAGGGCCAACACGCCCACTGCTGACAGCAAATTCACACCTTCCATTAGAGCAAGCCTCTGATTGGTGGGTAGAATCAACCCATTCACACCTTCCATTAGAGCAAGCCTCTGATTGGTGGGTAGAATCAGTCCACATGGGCTTAAGACAAGGATGTGTGGAATCAACCGGGCCAGGCTGGGGCCGACTGGGGCTACCCGGCCCGGGCCGACCCGGTACAGATGGGAATGGCCCATTTTTGTTTGGAGCTTGTGAGTTGCCTGAAACTACCGGAACCGACCCAACAGAACCAGCTCTGAATAGTAAGTAGCCGTTAGCCATAGCATTAGATTAGCTGCAGGGTTTGGCTCCATGGCCCTAGAGAGCTAGTATTCAGCATGTTTTAGAGATTTATCTGCATCAACACACCTGGTTTTAATCAGCAACAAATAGCTGAGCTGCTTAACAGCTAATCTAACCTGTTAAAGCAGGAAAACCACTGAAACGTGCTGGATAGCAGATCTCCAGGAGCCCTAGGCTCAAGTTAGTCTGCTGCCTAGAAAGTTATGAAACTACCCCATGATAAAATTATTCTGTAATGTGTTCAGCCCACTAAAACTGCCCTGATTTATTTAGTTACTTATGCCAGCTGCTCTCTTGGTTGTAGGTGATCCTCTGGTGTCTGCAGCTGGTCTCCTGCTGGTGTCGTCAGGATCAGGAGCTTCCAGAAGAATGTGCCTTTCAATGACTCTTCCCCCCTTATTTGTTATATTAATTAAATAAATCTCAATTTATATTTTTCCTGTTTTTGTTCATGTCGATAAATACTTAAACATGCTTGAAATTAAAACAAGCTTTTAACAGTGAGGTGCTAGTTTAATTCATCACAATAGAGCTAGTTAAACATGCAACAATGTGATAATTCAATTAATGTAATTTATAAATATCCATTAAAATATCAAAACTGGAATCAAAATGAGACATTTGGCAGCACAAAAAACTTGTCAAACACAATATTTATTATAATAATTGTAGGCAGACAGGAGACAGAGCTGATGGAGATTCTCAGTCATCGAAGGATGGCTGAAGGCTTTCCAGGAACAGGAGATGTGGTGTTGTCTCTTCTCTCTCTATTCTGCCAGATGAGCTGATAGGTTACAGGTGTGTGAGGACATCCTCATGCTGTCATAACCAGATGACCAGAGTTATCAGGTGATCAGCCAGGCTAATGATGAGATGCAGAAAGAAAACAAATCCAGGACAGCGTACAATAATATGTGGTGTTGCTCACCTTATGTGCTCTTATAGAATATTAACGTGTGCCTGCCTCATGGTGTAGAGTCCATATTTTGCTGAGTGTCCTGCAATAATGCAGGTTATTAGTTAATTTACTTTTGATAGCAAAGAACAACATATTTAATGTAAAAGTTATTTACCAGGTGAATCAGCTCACACGTCACCACCAAGTGTCACAGGGCCAGAATCAGTAGCCTCCTTCATGATGTCATGATGTAATCACATACTTATTTAATTGTTAATCTCTTAAAAATTCTGAAATGTTTTAATTTTTTTTACCTTGAACAGTTCACTGAGCTTGTACTGTCACTGAGGTGGAAGCTGGAATAAACAGCAGACACCTCACATCTTGGTCTTTTCAGGGGTGTGGACGCTGCTCTGGGACTTTCTGGAATTTCCGTCATGGTCCCTGTGTCACAAGACACACTGCGGCTGTGAGCTCTATTCTGGGTGGCTATGTAAAAAGCAAGCAGCACATTTATAAATGTTTAAAAGAGCATAAAATCACGTGTAACAATAATCTGTAAAACAAATTAAAACTAAAAGGTGATAATAAAATGTTTACATAGAAGATTATTAAAAATAATTCACCTTTGCTACGGGTAAGGCTTCACGTCAGCCTGGACAAGTGCATTCTTGCAGACTACTAAATCAGTCTGACAGCCAGTGTCTTGGGCAGATTTAGCCTGAAAAAAAAAAGAAGCACATTGTTGTTGGAGTTTATAAAGTCAGATAATATACAAAAGAAACTGTCCTATATAGGCGCTTTATAGCGAGCTGCGCTGAGCTGTGTCCAGCTCAGATGTTCAGATGGGAATCTTTTCTTGGGTGATTTAGCTACATCTGCGATGTGCGTAGAATAAAATGTCAGTTCGTCTGCATGCGTCGGGGTAATTCTTTCTATTCTTTCTCCGTCAAAATAAACGGTCATACAGGAACTATCCGGTCAACACAGCACAAGCCCTGCTTTTAACTGTTCTGTTTTCTTGTGAAAATTGTTGGAAAGAGATAAAATTTAACTTGATTAACACCAGAGCCAGTGTGCCGTTATCTCCGTGACGGTAAACGAGGGAAAAACAAATTGATCGGATCCTGCACGTCTTTTAACACATTGGTCAGGATTGACGCACTTTGTTTTCATTTAGTTGGTTAAAAAAAAGTCGGGCTCGAGCTCGGGTCGGGCCAGAGAATCCTGAAAACCTTTTCGGGCCGGTTCGGGCTGGGGCTCCACCCCCTCGAGCCGGGCCGGACACGGGCTCAGATTTTAAGCCCGTGCAGGGTTCTATTTCTGTGTGTATTAATTAAGCATTGGGACAAAACTGAGGTGAACCGTGTAAAGGATGGGTAGTTTACATTTTACTTATGAGCCATAAAATGTGAGATTCCATAGAAATATGAAATATCAATCTGATGGATCTTTGAATATTTTAACCAGAAGATCAGAACTTTTTATTGCAGTGATTACTTGACACTTTGAATTAACTCCAAGGAAAGAGAGAGAGTCGGGTTTAAAATAGTTAAGAAATGTTATTTCTACACAATTTAAACAAGACTAACTTTAACACTCTGTGTACTGATGGAACTAAGGTGGAGTGAGACGTGAAATGATGGTGGTGTGTGTGGAATGTTATTATCAAAACCAGTGGATCCGGTGAAGCGTTTAGTTCTGAGTTGGAGTGAATGTTTCGCTCTAAACCTTAGTAGGAGATTTATAACACACAAGAAACGCCATCTGTCGGTCTATGTACCCCAGGGGAAGCCTCCGTTTGGATCCAGAATGTCGAGGTCCTCTTGGACCCTCCTTGGAACCGAAGCTGGTAGAAAAGCAGCGGTGCCGACCAAACTAGTCTTGGAATGCTTCCAGGTCACGACAGGTTCATTGGCATCAGTGAGACTCTGAAGGGGTCGTGAGGTTCAGCTTTTATTCTGAAGGAACCGTCGTGGTCAGTTGTAACTTGCAACAGATTTAATCCAACTTGTCGAGGTTCTTTATGGCTGAAGAGGAAGTCCGGATGGCCTGTCCGAGACTTCTCTAGAACGCTTTGAACTAAAGAAAAGGTGGCGTGGGATAGTTTTTATAATTGTCATATTTTGGTTTACTGGCGAATCAGAATTTGACATGCAAAAGAGGGTTTATACAAACTCCACAGAAAATCACGCCTAGTGTCAGAAACGAAGGTTCTGATTGGATCAGACAAAAGGAAATATGTTGTGTGATTTTAGCATTACCTGTCATCAGTGTCTAGTGCAAATGTCCAAGATTATAATTATTTGCAAAATACAACTGATCAAAGGATTATAATATCAAGAAATAACATTGTAATTTCAAAGATTGATTGAACATTGGGCTCACATTATTATTGGTAATAACAAAGTTGTTTGATTATGTAATTATCAAGAGAGTTCCTTGTCTTCGTCTTGAGCTGTAACAGAGGTGAAGCAGTTTAGATGAGCAGAGTGCATGAAAGACCTTGGCCACTATCTTATGTAGATTAGGCTGTCAGAGACTTTATGTCTCTGCTCAAGCAGACGGTCCTTAGGTCAAAACAGGACATTCATGACGCTACAACCTTTAATGGCACCATTCACCCATAACTCACATTTCATCACACAGATGTTGAGATCAAACACAAACTTGTTTGCTAACATCTGGATCTTGTGAACATCTTAAAATAAATCAGTAAATAAGAGTTTAGCACCCTCAGGATGTTTGTATACATTATTTTAAAGAGTGATGAAAATGGTGACATCCACTTTTCTGAGTCCAATGCTAAATATGTGTAATTGTCAGTTTTAAAAGTGAAAATGTGCATAAAGCTAAATGAAAATCTATCCTTTTAGGTCTAGCAGAGGATTTAGTTTCATGTTGGTGAGAACATTCAAAAAGATCCTTTTTTTTTTGCAGAATCCATTTATTAAAAATCAGATAATAATCAAAAGTAAAAGTTTTAGAATTTATTGGACCATGTTTGACATCACAAAGAGCTTGTTTGCTCATAGATGTCTGCTGAAAATCGGCTGTTTGATTTAATGTTTCACCAAGGCGGTGTTTAGTTTTTGCCTTTAATCCGGTTCAATATCCACTTCTCTTATTACAGCTCTTTTATATCCATCAAGCGACTCAAAATGTTGCTGTACATGTAAAAGAAAAGGCTGAAATCGGACTGTGCAGAGCGTCAGCGGTGTGTAAAGTCACCTTGCAGACACCATCTCATTTTTTCCCCAAGGACCTGTCAGCAGTTAATATTCTGTCTGGTTGCTCTAATGGAGAGAGCTGCAAGGTTGAGTTAATGATTCCTTTCAGTGAGCAACACCATACGTGAGATTTATAGCATGAAGTGTAACTGGGAGGGCGGGATTTGCAACATAACCTGTGCTTCAGCAGCTTCAGTTTCCTTGTTTCAGACAAGAGATGACAGATGAGTGCTCGTGAAAAGGGTCCTCTCATCTGTTTGCTTCTTAAAAAGACAAGAAGAAACAAGCATTTTCATTAACGTGGGAATTAAAAAGGCTTAAGTCAAGGCGCCACCTGTGTGGCTGCCGACTGTGATGGAGAGGTGAAACAAAGGGTGACTCTCAGGTGGGGAGAACTGTGCAGCAGCTGAGAAATGAGGCCACACTTTCCACTCGGTCTCCATTAAAACACAAAAGGGCCTCTCACGGTGGTGTGGGGGACGGGGGGAATTCCTCCTCACAATGACCCTCTTCTGTTCACCGTGATGCGCTCCTGTGGCTCTACATTCCTTTAAAGGTGTTCTCCCAGAGAACCCCCCCCCCCCCCCCCCCCAAAAAAAAAACACACACACACACACACACACACACACACAGAGTAAATCAGTGTATACTTTGTCAAGAGCTGAAGTTAAGAGTCTTGTCTCTGTCCAGATGTGGAGACCCTTCCCATGTCTGTGTCCTCTTCTCTCTGGATGAGTCCAGAACAGGTTGTTTACAGTTTTTCTCTCCAGGACGGATTCCAGCACAGCGCTGGCATTCCTTTTTGTAGGAAGTGTTCTTCTCCATGAAACCGGACCTCCACCTCTTATTGCGTCTTTTGTACCAGCCTGCCACCCAGCTGAGCACGGAGACACATGAGGGCACGCGAGGGTTCTGGATGCACACCGGCACACCTCTCAGTGTGTCCGGTGACGCAGAACAATGTGAAGTTTAGTTACACTTCATCACAAAAGCACAGCACCTGACTTTGGCTTTTACTGTCACGGGCACCACCTAATCCCTGGAGAGGAGCTGAATTATGATCCTGCTGTCTTCAGTGGCACGGATTAAGGGAAGGAGCTGGAGAGTGGGCCAGAAGAGGCCAATTCAGTCTGTGTTTGAGCAGAAGGATGATAAGATAACAAGCATAACTTCCTTTGAACATGAACTACATGCACATGTGCTGATGCAGTAGCTGTACACTGTTATTTTCTCCTTCACCTTTTTCCTGCAGGTGTTTTATGTTTTCAAATTCAACACCTGAGTATTATGGAACATTTGAACTTTGGAGTGAGATGCAGACAGAGTGATCTTTAATGGTGAGAATGCACAACGTAGGAGAAGATTCCAACTTTTTGATTGGCGGCGGCGGCACGCCTGAAAAGCCGGGCAGAAGGACCTGAAAAACCAGCTGCCTGAGTTGGTTCCTCTCAGCGAGGAGCAGCTCTGGGCAGGGCAGGCTCAGAGTCTCCTCCTACTCCTCCACCTCCTCATTCACTTCCTCCTCTCATTCTCACAGAAACCAAACACAGAAAAAGAGAGGCTTGCCATTAGAGTCCATTTAGCTCATCTTCTGCCTCCTGGAGTTATCCTTTTCTTTTGTTTTTGGGAGAAGTTTGCACACTCCTGTGCTTCCATCTGTTTCCCCTGAGCACACCTGCCGGGCCTCCACAGGTGGACTATGCCCCCCTCAGCCAGCTGAGGGAGGGGGCTTGACACCGCTCCCATCTGGAGAAGGCAGGAGCTGATTCCAAACACGAGACTGGTGAGACTAATCACTGCTTCTAAATGTCTTTTGTCTCGCTTTTTAGGTCCAACTCTGTGTGTGTGTGTGTGTGTGCGTGCGTGCGTGCGTGCGTGTGTGTGTGTGTGTGTGTGTGTGTGTGTGTGTTGTTACTGTGTGTGAGTGAGAACAGGGGTCTCTCCCAGACAACATGCAGAGACATTGGTAGAAGTGAAATAGCTTGCATTCCAGAGATGATTAAAGATTTAGCTCCATAAATAATAAAAACAAGGATGAAAAAAACATCTGAATCATAGAAGGTTCAATGCCGTTCTAGGAAAATGTGTCGCTTTTGCATCTATAAGAACATAAATGTGTTTTTAAATCATTCTGATGTGATAAATCAGGCTCAGGTCAGCAGCCTGCTTCTCAAAGTGACAGCTTTTATTTCACGCTGACATCAAAGTTCACCCTTAATGATGGGACCATGAGCAAGCAGTCCCTTCGGTGTGTACTTTCTTCAGTAATTAACTCAGATAAGCTCTGTTTGAAAGCCTGCTTTGTTTGCCAGCAGTGGAAATCATGCAGGGGGAAAACATTGAAATCCTTAAAAACACACAATGGCGTGATTTAAGTTAAAATCGTTAACAATTTATCCTAAGATTAACTACTAATTCAAAATTATGCACATGTTTTCAAGCACAAACTGCTGTTTTATTATTTGATTGTATTTTTTTTTGCATTTTAATGAACAAAACGATCAAAATGATCATTTAAGTTATTATGAGTCCTCAGTTTACATATATCCAACTGATTCCCTATATTTTGTTGTAGGTTGGTAGGTTTCAAATTCCCTTCAGAATAAAAGCTTGTTTACTCTGCTGCACAAAAGCATTTCTCCTTAGTCGTCCATCTGTCATACTTTCAATACCTGCACAATTTTCTGGAAGCTGCTGAACAAACACATCGTGTGCTCAGTGATGTGATTTTTTTGTGTTTTTTTCTCTCTCTCTACTTCAAACCTGTTTCAAGCAGGATTTGAAAACTAGAGGAAATTATTGCCCATTGATTGATGCCGTAGAGCAGTACTTTGGTAGATTGCTTCAGTTTTATTGGAGTGTTTTTGTGCAAAGCTGTTGAATTTTATATCTTAAAGAGATTAATTTAACTGATTTCAAATTTGTTTCTGTGTAAAATCCTCTACCCACTAGAAGAAGCCTTCCTGAACAGCCTCTGTTTGGAGAAATAACTTTCAAAAATGACAAGCCTACAGAAAGAAATTACTTCTAATTGATTTTTTTTCTTTTAGAATAATATTTCTGCATTAAATATAAAGATATTTCCTTCTAGATAACTGACTGAACAGCTGTTGTTTGACAAAATAGCTTTGCCGTAACAAATGAGACAGACAGCAGCATGAATCCAAAAACTTCTGTGGTTTATTTGTTGTTTTGTTACCTCGACTATAGAGGCATCTCAGGTGATACCTTTGTGATAACTATATTTATTTTACAAGTTAAGTGGAAATCTGCACGTGACTTTCATTTTGACAGTTCTCTCTGCTCTGTTTCACTTCCTGTCCAGCCCGATTGAAATAGCTGAGCTTGATGCGTTCTGGAAGCATAGCAACAGTTGTGGGAGAAATTTTAGCTTTGCACGAATTAGCCGTTAGCTCATCAGTCCTGCTGAATGAAAACTCCAGTTCTCCAAACTGAGGCTGTTCACAGAAGCTCTGGTGGACATTTATATTTATTTACACAGAAACACATGGATTTTGAATGGATCAGCAACTAAACTTAGCAAAAAAAAAAAACAATTACAAAAAAATATTAAAGTATAAGGATGGTTGAAACGAAGCTTACAAAATTTTACCTTCAATTATGATAACTTTAGTATTTATCTAAAAATAAATAAATAAATAAATTTTCTATATTTTTTTCTTCCTTAAAAGAAGTCAAAGGCTTACAGGAGTAGTTCAGATATTTAGAACAAATAATGTGTTCCTTTTAAAAAAAAGTTCTGATTGGATTTAGGAACTAACAGTAATCCACAATTAAACCAGCAACAAAGGTGATTTCTGGCATCGTTAATGAGCTATAATCTTAAAAAAAATGCTACATTGTCAATAATCTTAACTGTTAATATCCATTTAGAAGCTTTTTTACATCATTGTACACATTGACACTTGTTCCCGTTGTATACATTTAATTATTTTGGGATAAATATAAAATGTTCCAGATTTACTGCTTATTTCTGCTTTAAATAATAATAGAATTCCAGGTAAATGAGTGCATGTGAGAGTGAAGGTTTCTGAAACAAATCTGACACCAGCTCATAATTTGTTGATGACACGTTGATGACGTGTTGGAGACTGATTGAGGTCACAGCAAAATCTCCCCTTTGTGTGACATGAAGACAAACAACGTGAGAAGCCTGCTTCTGACGCGACGCAAATGAGCTCCACTTCCACATCCAGCTTCACGTCTGCCCTTCTCACCTCATTTAGTCGTTGACCTCTTCAAATATTGACACAATCCATGGAGGCTGTGCAAAAAAGAGGAAACACAGTGGTTCCTGTTCTGCTTCGGAGTTGTCTGAACAAGCAAAGATGTTATTTATTTACTCAGCGAGGATAAAAAAGGAGATTTGTGACATTTGAGAACTGTCATTACAGGGAAGAGACTGGTACATGAAGAAATCAATGTAATCTTTTCTTACAAAGATGTTCCAAAGTAAAGAAAGAAAAATGTCTCAAAAATTACATTTCTCTATTTTCTTTATTTTAAATGGATTATTGTGCATCTGTGTCCTTTATAACGGTTAAAACAACATCCGATACAAAGATGGAGGCCTTAGGGTTAGGGTCAAATGAGTGAATTATTTTATTAAATAGAAAAAAGACAAATAAAGTGTCTAAACCCACTAATCAAATCACATAGAGCTCAGTAAAAGTCAAGAATTGGGGTGAATAATTTTTCTTTGTACCAGTTCTTAATCACTAACACATTTTTCTTCAGTTGCCATGACAACCAGGGATGGCTGATGGTATTTTCATGTCAGCTGATTGCATTGGTGCATGTTTTTATGCACCAGAGCAGTGTCAGTGTGCATCTCGACTCAGATAAGAGAATTTATTATTAAAATATCTGGAAAATGAATCCTGTTTTGGTTTAAATGCTTCTTTAAAGCAAGTTCTGCATAATTAGCCTTAATGTTTCTCAGCGTGTAAATTAGGCGTGCTCATGAGTCAGAGTCCAGGGCACACTGGCGTGGTCTAGCTGCATGTTAATTAGTTAGGCTGTGAAATCTAGAGGTGTGTTCCTTTTATCAGCCGCAGGTTTGTCCTCCTCTGGCTACACACACCTGGCTGTTTCAGACCTGACTTTTTCACTTCACAGTTTATTTTCTACCATGATGTAATGTGCTCTGAAAGGCTACAGGACCTTTGTTCTGTTTATAGAGAATTTTCTCACAAAAAGTTTTCTGTCTTTACTTAGCCATTTTTCTGACATGTTTACCAGCAAATGTGAAAAGTAAATGTTAAAAAAAAGATAAATTGATGGCGAGTTCTTATTTCAACAGAAAAGTACTGAGTGCACAGCTTTAAAACTGCAGTTAAAGCTCAATTAATACGAGTTAATTCACTGACCAGTTGTTTTGTTCTTTAGGAATGCAATTGAAACAGCTGATATGTGGACCCGACCCTCAAGGAGATGATTTATTTAGTTTGGATTAATAAAATTCACTAGAAAAGAAGCAAATCGTCTTATAAAAATGATAAGATTGCTAAAAGTGCAAGAAAAATCTTAACACTGGAGAATTTAATCCAGACATACGTTGCAGCAGTTTTTAAGGGTTCAAGTAAATGTAAGTTCTAGAGAAACAAACAAAATCACACGGGAAACCGTAAAAGATAACAAGGAACGTCATAAATCTGTGAATACTAGACCTCAAAGCCGTGGATCTGACCTCAGAGAGGAGATCTACAAGAGTCTGAGCTGCAACCAAAACTCATTGGCTCTCTGTCATCTCTAAGCACCACCGCTGATGCTGCCCTCATCCTCCCTTTAGGTCTTTTTCTGCCATCTAGAAACCATATAAGTTATTTAGCAAAAATAATATTTAGGAAATATGTCAACATGTTTTATGGGATTCATTTAGATGATTTGCGTTAGGTTTCATTGATTGATGCCAGAGCTGCATGAAGTGATCTTAGCATCCCACCATTCCACATGCAGTCATAATTCCATATTCTTCATCCTGTAACCAAAACAGTCAAAATGCTAGCTTCATACTGTGTGTAATCATTATGCTGCTTATCATAATCTGTCACATATGCAAACAGTAAATGTGATGAATGTCATGACCAACAACCAGCGAGTGGATTATGTAATATTTGCCAGCATCTAATCTAGCTTTATGATTCTGTGGTCAATAAGTAATAAAAATGAACATTTAATGGAGAATTAATTGGGATATGGATATTTCACTCGGACTCAAGAACAAATAAATCATTTTAAAGTTAAAGATTTACAAGATTTATTTTCCTCACACATTATGGGCAGAAACTCTGATCGTAAACAACAAAAGAGAAAAGAAATACAAAATTTCACAAGTTTATTGTATAAGAAATGAATTAATAACATAACATAATCGCTCATCTGGCAAATACGCATCTTTTAGCATCACAATATGACAAAAAAGTCTTTCAGCTCTTATAAAACCAAAAAACTGCTGATTTCCTTTACTGCAGGCATGCTGCTGCTTCACTCCTATAGACTCTGTAATAGTTTATTCTACAGCTCCTTCTGATGTATGAAAACGAGTTATAATTTTTACGGTATAATAAAAGGATGAATATTTTCCACAAATTAGTGATCATCAAATAAGAGGTCAAATGGAAAGGATGATTGGCTATTTTGGATTAAGCTATATCAGATTTTTGCACAATCTCTGAACAAGCAATGGCTCAGGAGAGCTTTATGGCTATAAAAAATTATGTTACATAAAAACATAAATTATAAAAGGATACAATAGGCTGCAATACAAATACATTAAAGAACAATATGTGAACTACAGAGCTTTAACACATTTTATGGAATATAAGAAATAATAATCAGTTGCCTGTTAGAGTTATAAAGGAGTCAGACTTCAAAGGTGTGTTATCATTATTCAGCTGAATCAGTAAAGGCAACAGCCGATGAAACTAGACTAGAACAGAGGCTCAGTAACCACTGATGGCATTAATTAGTTCTGCCAAACATGAATAAATGAAAACTGTGAGCAGTGGATTGAGTACAAGCCAATATGGTGTCAGAATGGTGAATGTTCAGATTATTATCCAATCCAATCCAATTTTATTTATAAAGCGCATTCACAAGGCATTACAACCCAACAAGGCGCTGTACACTAAAAATGTTGGTTTATTTGGTTAAATAAACCAACATTTATTTGGAGAGGTTAAATGTTGGTGGATTTGATCATCCAACCATGATCAAATCCACTCCATCCGGATGATGCAACTTATCTGGATGAGCCTATTGTGTGTTTTTAACAATGACCAGCTGAAACAAAAAATGACTTACAAGGCTATTCTTTAGACAAGGAGTGGTAAAAAGTCTACTAATAGATAAGTACTACAGTAAAATTAATATACCCATAATTTATACATAAAGGAGCAAAATGTAAAAACAAATTAAGTGAAATAATCACAAAACGGTGTCTCAGTCATGTTGGAAGGAAGGTTACATTTCAGCTGGCTGGAGGGTTAATGTATTTTTTTCTAAAAAGAGGGATGTAGTCTTTGTTTAAAATCTGATTAATGAGTCTGTGCTAAGTTAACGCTGCAGCGTATTTGTAGTTCAACATTAGTTAATTATTTAGTTTACAAACTAAACGTTAAGCTCCAATTTAAATATTTTCCCCAAAACAAATATTTAGATTCCAGCTAAATATTGATTTTGGGGCTAAGCCTAAATAGTGATTTTGCAAACTAAATGTTTAGCTCCAAAGCAACTTTAATTTTGGAAAGAATTTGGAGCAAAATGTTTAGTTTTTAAAATAAATATTAAGCTCCAAGTTAAATATTTAGTTAGTGACTTAAATATATATATATTTTACAAACTAAATATTTAGTTCTGACCTAAATATTTTTAGTAAAATAAATGTTTGATTTACTATCAAAATGTTTAAGCTAAATATTTAGTTTACAAACGGAATAGTTAGCTCCAAAATAAACAATTATTTCTGAAAATAAATATTTAGATCCCAGCTAAATGATTTTGGGGCTAAACCTAAATATTGATTATGCAAACTAAAAGTTTATCTCAGTTCATAAGCTAAATATTAGGCTCCAAATTAAATATTTTGTCAGTGAATTAAATATTTGTTTACAAACTTTGTAGAATAAATATTTAACTAAATATTTAGTTGGGAACTTTACCCTTTATAAATGTATGAATAACATAATGAAAATACGACTTGGAAAAATGAACTCCCATTTTTTAATTTATGTTAAATTATGACTCTTTTGGGCCATTCTCATCTGTACCGGGTCGGCCCGGGCCGGGTAGCGTAGGTTGTTTACATATCTGGGTGGCCTGGTATTTTTCCGGGCCAACCAAGGCTCATTCTCAGCCCTCTTCTCGAGGGGGTCTGCTTCAGGCCGACCAGGGCCAACACACCCACTGCTGACAGCAAATTCACACCTTCCATTAGAGCAAGCCTCTGATTGGTGGGTAGAATCAGCCCACATGGGCTTAAGACAAGGATGTGTGGAATCAACCGGGCCAGGCTGGGGCCGACTGGGGCTACCCGGCCCAGGCCGACCCGGTACAGATGGGAATGGCCCATTTGACTTTACAAATGGCCCCCCATAGAATATACAATGGGTTAGGGTTCATATTCCACCTGAGAGTAAATCTGTAAGGCTTGTCACCAGCATTCAGACATCGATTCTGTTTGTTTCACAGCCAGACAAGACACAACGAGAAACAAATTAAAACATTTTCACTACCAAGAGCCAACGACAACTCTTAATGTGTTTTTCATTTCAGTATAATAAATGTTATTGAAAAAGATGCCAACAATACTTCCGACATAGTTTTTCATTCCATTCTGTTTGGTTCCTCCTTCCTGTGGTTTCAACACCACCCAGCTATTCCTTTTTGCTGCTTTCTACACTTCCTCCCAGTTCAAACCCTCCCCCGTGTCTTTCCTCTACCTGTCATCTCAAACATGTCCAATCAGGTTTCAGATATCTTGTTATATATATATATATATATATATATTGTTTTGTCTTGGCAGGTTCTTCCTGAAGATGTCTTCATCTGTCCCCATTCCCACCACAACCACAGCTGCTCCAAACACAACCGCCGTCACTAAGTCCCAAGAACAAATCCTCATCCAGAGTAAGGATTTATCGTGTTGACGTGATTCCACATTTTGATTTGTGCCTTTTCCCTTTTATTCGCTTTTGTCAAACACAATAAAACACACACACTGACGCTGTCTGTCGACGCACGCCATCAGATCCTAGGACAGAAAACACACCACGTGACTCATAAACTTGTTAGGAGTGGAAGTCGTGCGTTTAGTAGAAAATATTTGCCGTCTCGTGGTTGTCTGAACGTGATACTGTTGCTAAGTGACAAACACTTTTTTAAGGAAAACTAAGTTACACTCTATCGACCGAGCTCTCATCAACTTTATTCTCTCTGTGTCTGGATCTCAGGCTCCGGGGCCATGATTGCTCTCATTGTCATCGGCATCATCATCATTCTCACCATTGTGCTCATCATCCTGAAGACGTACAACCGGTGAGATGGCATTTCTGTTTAATAAATGCTAGTGCTATTTTTATCCACTTTACGAAGAGCTGCACACCTGCTGATGCAGCAACAATCATTGTAAAATCAATGTTTCATGAAAGACAAACTTTATGGGCTTTTGTTTATTTTCAAACTTCACATTCATCTTACAGCCTGCATTCCTTATATTGTATGTCTTTTTCTTCAATATTTCAAAGGTTAAACTCAATCAGAGCTAATTTCCTGAGGTTAAATACTTTTTTTGGTGACTAAAAACTTCATAAATGTAATATCCTCACAGGAAATGTATCATCAATGTAAATTACTTGCAAAACAGTTGCAAAATATTATAAAAATCATTTAAAAATAAGATTTAAAGTAATGAATAATTATGATGTGTTTGTGTAACTTGGTCATTTATCTGATTGTGGTTCTGTTTTGGTGTTTTTGAGTGAGAAGTCATTGTTGAGTCAGGCCCGTCTCAACAATGTGGTTGCCTCGGGCCTCCAGCTCGCCAGGGGCCCCCAGACAATTACTGTTTATGAAAAAAAAATGCAACAATAAGCAAGAATAAACGGTGTAAGGTCTGTGTGTTGTCCCTTCAAATCCCCATTACCAAGTGTGCAGTATTATGCAAGTAATGCAAAACTAGTTGAACATGAGGTGGGTGGCTCCAAGTCCGTTTTGCCTTGGACCCTCCAATATCTTGGAATGGCCCTGTGTTGAGTCACTCAGTCTTTTTGACCTGATTTAAAGTCTAATATATCAACAACATTAACCAAAGGGCTTTTGGGAAAATCCAAATAAGAAATTAGGGGAAAAAAGGGTAATGATATTTAATTATAATCTATTCAAATGGGCAATAAAATGCAATTATGAGAGCTGAAACAAATGAAGGATTGTCATAAAATGTATAATAGTTAAAAAAAAGGTGTCAAAATAGACCTGCAAAATGCCTGGTATTAGAAATTACAAATCCATAAATCTTCTGCTTAAACTTATTAAAGTCTGAAATAGGAAAAATTTATAATAAAAATACAGTTTTTAAAATTAGATTTATTTATTGGCTATTGTTAATATTACAATTACAGATTGCTGTATTTTATCGTATTATGTTGTAAGAGTTTTAAAATAAGAAATGTGGCTCCTTGCTACCTGCAGATCCTCCATGAAGAGGAGTGGAAAATGAAATTAAATAAATGAATAAATGATGCAATGAAAAAAAAAGAATAAACAAATATATTAACTCGATCTTGCATCTGATGCTTGTTATTCCTAAACATGTTCACAACATAGGACCATCATTTTATATGTAGCATAAATTAAAATAAATGAGAAGTGTCCTTTTGTTTAACATTGTATATTTTGTCTTGGGCAGGCGGACACATACATCCAGACTCATGGGGGACAGAACAGGTTCCAAACCTCGTCCACGAGCCTCCCACTCCACTGGGAATGTCCCTCTGAACATTTTTGGAGTCAGCTCCATCTCAGGCAGCGTCACTAACAGCACCCCTGTCTCAGATATCACCATCCAGCTGCCCAGAGTGGAGCTCAGTAGCGTGGAGGGAAACCACATAGAGCAGTTCAGCACCACCAGTGACTACAGCGAGTCCACGGTGGTCACCATACACGACGTCCCCTCAGTAGAAAACACATAACACACAGAGAGACCTGTTTGGTTTGTAAGCTGACATTGACTGAGGTGTTCCTGACCATGCTCTGTGCTGCTGACTGAATCTCGAGGGGATCTGTGATGATGCCAATCATCCGGCTCCTGTTGGGCAGGCTGAAAAAATATGAACAAAATGGTATCAGGCATGTTTAAATGTGAAGGATAACGGTTAAAGAAGAAGTGCTTTTTTTAGTTCATGTCAGTGTTTATAGTAAGCATGCCATTGCTCTACTTTAATAAGATTAAATAACATGCATTAATGCATCAGTCTGCTATGAAATGTCTCAAAAGTTGTATTTTTACATTACTCCCTTGATTGTGCATCTTCTGCAGTAGGTCTGTTTCTGTGTCTGCAGAAAATTGGTCACTGTGTTCATGCCACCAAGCAGAAAAACACACCATTTACTTATAATAGGTTTACAGAGCAACGTAGACATATAAGAGTTATGAGAGAAGACAGCTTTCAGTGTAGCGTATTCATTAATGACTGACTTGCGTAATTTATTTTTAGTTTTGTTTTGTTTAGTTTCATAAATCTGGTTTACTTAGTATAATTTTGTCTTTGTTTTTATATTATAATTAGTTTTGATTGTAAAAAATGTATCAGTATGTGTTTTGTAACTGCAAGAAGTAAAGATGCAATGAAGGCATAATGTTTAATATCTGTCAGCAAAACCCTTTGATGTGAATTATTTTGATTTGACAGAAGTATTGCTGCACTTTATTTTTACTGCTTGTGTTTTAATTCTTTTGGGGATCTTTATTAAATGATTGGTACAAAAATAAAATGGAATATTTTTAACCAGGGCTCATGCTTTTGTTTTCATCAGTATTCAAATGAGATCAGTATGTAGAAAACAAGCATCGTTTTAAAATTTTTACTGGTCCAAAAAATGAAATTAAACAGGATCAATACATATTATAATGCAAGAGGCTAAGCTTATATATTGATATTTACACAGAAAACAACTAGTTAACAGTGATTGAGAATTTCCTGGAAATAATCAAAACAGACTGTGAGTGAGTACTGCGACATCTGCTGGTGGATGTGGATAAGAGCAGCGAGAAGAATGAAAGCTGCATTCAAGTTTATACATTTTTTCAACTAAATTGTTTATTTAAGTGAAAAACAATTGAATCAAAAACAATAGCAATACATTTACTTGTCTTTCGTGTCATTTTTCATTCCAAAAAATTCTACGGTTTTTAAAGAATATTTAACTGAAAGCAACGAGTTAATGTGTTGGATTTAAATGTGTTTGCTAACAGCCAAAGACGTGTCTTGAATGCAACTTTATTTGGACTTGCTATGATGCTGTAAGAATGGTGACTGTAGGTGAGTGGTAGCTTACTGCTTTAGTTTTACATAAAATCCATATTTTAAATAATGGTAGCTTAAAGCCTGTAGTTGCGTTTGAAATTCAACCCACAACCCTTTAATGTTAATTACACAAAGCTAACGTAATGTTAGCATACATGCTAAGGAAGTGTGCTAACCAGTGACTGTAGAAAGCTAACTCACCTACTTCAGGTGCAAGCTAGCTAGGTAGTTTGTCCCTGTTTTGTTGTTGAACGGTTTTTGTGTGTATGTTTTTGCAGCGGAACTCTTCAGTCTAGTTCTTGTTTCCGTGTTGTGGGGCTGCACCAACCCTTTCCTAAAGAAAGGCTCAGAGGGAATAGAAAATCTTACTAAATCCAACAAAGTGTTGCAACTGCTAGCCGAAGTCAAGTTTCTTTTCTTAAACCTTAAGGTATGTTTTTAGACCAGTGACCGATTATCTCGTCCATCAACCGGCTTAGCTGCACATTCTCATTTATTTGCCCCCACAGTACCTGGTCCCATTTCTTCTGAACCAGAGTGGATCGCTGGTCTACTATTACACACTGTCAACCACAGGTAAAAATGCACATTTCTAAGGTCATCATTTCATCTCATTCATTATAGCAGCTGCAATAATAGGACAGATATCAAATAAAAATATGATCACCTGAAGAAATCTGTAATTAACCAACCATGTAGCAGAAACGTGATAGCACCTCATCGTAAATGAAAACTATTTAAAAAATTGCTTTTTTGTCCTCCAGAATTGTCTCTTGCTGTTCCTGTGGCCAACTCTCTCACCTTTCTTTTCACTCTGCTGACTGGGAAGTTGCTGGGAGAAACGTTTGGAGGCAAACGTGAGTTGCTTCAACTCGTCAGGTGGCTAAACCACAAGAAAAACAATTAAGGATTATGTCATCCGTGTGCTTTTGCAGAAGCTGTAGTGGGAATGTTTCTCACCATGGCTGGCATCACCCTGTGCATCATAAGCTCCATCAGTGACGACGACACAGAGAAGCAGAACACAACCCACCCAGAGCTCTAATCAAGATGGAGATTAAAGCAAATTGGCATGTTTCGAAGGGAGTCCTCAGCAGGGTGAGAAGACCAAAGCTGCCGCTGGGGCTGCAGACTAGAGGGGGGTGGTTTAGATTTAGGCTGTAGCTCTGGAGGGAGAAATGCACCCCAAGTCAACTCAGCTGTGTATAAACTAGATGTTGAAGCGGGTTCGTGCAGGGTTCAGTCCAGAGCTAAAGCGGATTTATGGACCTCTATGTGATTGGAATTAGCTAAGATGCTATAGAGCCAATGGAAAGGGCCAAGAGCTGCATTCTTTATGTGATAACATTGTTTTTATTTATTTAAAAAAAAAAGACAACACAGTTGAGCTGTTTTGTATGTGACCTTGTTCCCTTTGCTGCTTTGTGCATAAAACTCACTGAGGTGGATCTTTATAAGAAAATCTGTAAATTGTTTTAAAAAGTATAGAATTAAAGACCAAATGCATAATAACACATTTTTATTTTCACAGTATTCAAATGATTTAAGACACTGTACAGTCACAGTACTAAACTATTTTTAATAAACTGTTGGCAGACATTCATCATTTCTTCGATTATGCATTTATCTAAACTGCAAATACACTCCTAATGTGCATACATGCAGTCAGCATCAGAAAAACCCCTTTTGACAGGATTCATAATAACAATGACTGGCTTGTTTGTTACATCAGCATCGCTGAGGTGCTTCGTTTCTGTTCAAAAAATATATATATGTAATGTTATATTTGTCTATTAGCACAGTGAAAGTTCTACCAATTCAACTAAACATGGCGTCAGCTGCGTCGTGGAAGCAGAAACAACTCTTATGAACAGAGACCCTGTTAGGATGCAGCGACGCCCTCCTGGTGACTGTTTGATGAGGCATCCTGCAGGCTCTCCTGTCACATAATGATAATAATGTTAAAGCATCAACAAGTTTTAACCCAGATTTATTTTGTTTACCTTTTGTTTCCTGATCTTTCCTCCTGAGAGTGAAGTCGAAGGCTTTAAAGATTTCAGCTCAGCCTCCTTTAAAAAAAAAACACAAGAACACAAACTATCGTTTTTCTGTGACAGATCCCAGGTGTGTGTGTGTGTGTGTGTGTGTGTGTGTGTGTCCATACTCCAGCTGTAGACTCCTGTTTAGATTTCAGTGCCTTTCATTGGACAAATAAACCATTTTAGTGACTTGAATCATTGAAACACACACACACACACACACACACGATTGTTTACTCCTAACCTACAATCTCACCTGCTTTCTGGGATCCGTTTGTTGAAGTATTTTGTTGCTGTGCTCATTTGTCGTTTCTGCATGTTTCTTGAGGAAAGCACATTTTGATGTTTTGTTAAACTGATGCACATGCAACTATGTTACAGTAACTGAATAAATACATTTTAACCAAATTTAGATAAATACGCGTCTACCTGCTGGAGGTTGTGATGAGCGTCTTCTGTGTTGTTTGGCTCTTCATCCTCCACTATCTCTGCAACTCTCTGTGCAAAACCAATAAGGACCAGAAGAATACATTTAAACACCTTTTAACATGATGTTTCAGTATTATGTTGCACGTTGTATTTTGGAGACCTGATCAACAGGAAGCTCTGTGGCTGTGTTTTCATCCTCCTGCACCTCCTCGGCACCTCGCGCCTCCTCCCTCCTTGTTTGTGCTCCTCTGAACATATTTGGTTGAACTAAACCAAAGACATGGTGCGGAAACGTTAAATAACTACTCATTTTAAAGTTTAATAACTGAAAAGGAACATTAGATTTGTATGAAACCCTAACCAGACATGTCGAGTTGGGGCTTTGTTGGATTTCTGTTTTTGCGAACTTTAACGGGTCTGGTGAGGAACACGAAGGCGTCGTCTGCTCCGTCTCTCCTGCTCGTCTGCTGGGAGGCCTGCAGGGCTGCAGCTTCATCCCCCGTGGACTTCACCCTTCGGCCATCAGACTGAAATTCATGGCTCATGACTGAATATACAGTGGGTACGGAAAGTATTCAGATCCCCGTCAATTATTCACTCTGTTATATTGCAACCATTCGCTAAAATGAATGTAATTCACGTTTTTTCCTCATTAATGTACACACAGCACCTCATATTGACAGAAAAACAAAATTTTAGAAGTTTTTGAAGATTTATTAAAAAAGAAAAACTTAAGTATTGCAACGCTTTGCTTAGTATTTAGTAGATGCACACCTCTCTGGAGCTGATACTGCCATGAGTCTTCTTGGTAAACGTGCAACAATTTTCTTACACCTGGATTAGGGGATCTTTTGCCATTCCTCCTTCCAGATCCTCTCCAGCTCTGTCAGGTTGGATGGTGGACGTTGGTGGACGTTGTAAACAAGAGAAACAACTGCATTCTCACCTGCATGGCTGGGTGAGTCACTTATAAAAAATAAAATTAACATTAGCATGATTCCTATAGCTATATTACCTCAACTTTAGTCGGTAAACATTTCACAAGTGCTGCAGTTATTCAGTGGTGCATCTGGCAAAACTGCCATTCAAGCAGATTTGTCTAACATGTCTTATTTTTTTGTGTCTCAGCTCGAGGTCATGCTGTAGCCATGCTGCTGCACCTGCTGCTGAAAGCAGAGCTGTGGGTCAGGTTGGTATGGAAAGACGGAGCAGGCAAGTGAGGAGCAGTGCCTGGTTTTCTCCACACATACCGCTTAGAGTTAAACCAAAAAGTCATGCATTGGTCTCATCAGACCAGAGAATCTTATTGCTCAGCATCTCGGGGTACTTCAGGTGTCTTTTAGCAAACTCCATGGACTTTCCCGTGTCTTGCACTGAGGAGAGGCTTCTGATGGGCCACTCTGCCATAAAGCCCTGACTGGTGGATGGCTGCAGTGATGGTTGACCTTCTACAACTTTCTCCCATCTCCTGACTGCATCTCTGGAGCTCAGCCACAGTGATCGTTGGGTTCTTCTTTACCTCGCTCCTCAAGGCTCTTCTCCCCGGTAGCTCAGTTTGGTTGGACGGCCTGCTTTAGGAAGGGTTCTGGTCGTCCCAAACGTCTTTCATGTAAGGATTATAGAGGCCACTGTGCTCTTAGGAACCTTAAGTGCAGCAGAGATGTTTTTGTAATCTTGGCCAGATCTGTGCCTTCCCACAATTCTGTCTTTGAGCTCTTCAGGCAGCTCCTTTTACCTCATGATTCTTGTTTGCTCTTACATGCATTGTGAGCTGTAAGGTCTTATATAGACTGGTGTTTCCTAATCAAGTCCAGCCAGCATCATCAAACACAACTGGACTCCAATGAAGGTGTAGGACCATCTCAAGGAGGATTAGCAGAAATGGAAAGCACCCGAGTTAAATTTATGAGTGTCACAGCAAAGGGTCTGAATACAATGTGATATTTCACTTAGTCTTTTTTAATAAATCTGCAGAAATTTATAAAATTCTGTGGTTTTTTATGTCAGTATGGGTGCTGTGTGTACAATAATGAGGAAAAAATGAATTTAATCGATTTTAGCAAATGGCTGCAATATACCAAAGAGTGAAAAAAGGACGGGGGTCTGAATACTTTCTGTACCCACTGTACATTTTTAAAACAATGTGACACAGATTTACTGGATATTTCAAACAAATGAATGTAACACTGGGACTTTTTATGCTGCTGTTTCACCTCGGGGGAGTTGAGAAGAGCCGAGTCACTGTACTGGTCTTCTGGACCACTTCCTGATTTCCTGTTCTAAGACAAAATCAGACAAGCTACTCCTTATTTGTGTTTCATTTATTTACCTTCTAACAGCTGCCATTTATTCCTGTTATGTAAAAAAAAAATAAAAATAAAAAAAGGAAGTACAGTGGGGCAAAAAATATTTAGTCAGCCACCGATTGCGCAAGTTCTCCCACTTAAAATGATGACAGAGGTCAGTAATTTTCATCATAGGTACACTTCAACTGTGAGAGACAGAATGTGAAAAAAAATCAATGAATTCACATGGCAGGATTTTTAAATAATTTATTTGTAAATCAGGGTGGAAAATAAGTATTTGGTCAATAACAAAAATTCTACTCAGTACTTTGTAACATAACCTTTGTTGGCAATAACAGAGGTCAAACGATTACTATAGGTCTTTACCAGGTTTGCACACACAGTAGCTGGTATTTTGGCCCATTCCTCCATGCAGATCTTCTCGAGAGCAGTGATGTTTTGGGGCTGTCGCCGAGCAACACGGACTTTCAACTCCCTCCACAGATTTTCTATGGAGTTGAGGTCTGGAGACTGGCTAGGCCACTCCAGGACTTTCAAATGCTTCTTACGGAGCCACTCCTTTGTTGCCCGGGCGGTGTGTTTGGGATCATTGTCGTGTTGGAAGACCCAGCCAAGTTTAATCTTCAAAGCTCTCACTGATGGAAGGAGGTTTTGGCTCAGAATCTCACGATACATGGCCCCATTCATTCTGTCCTCAACACGGATCAGTCGTCCTGTCCCCTTAGCAGAAAAACAGCCCCAAAGCATGATGTTCCCACCCCCATACTTCACAGTAGGTATGGTGTTCTTGGGATGCAACTCAGTATTCTTCTTCCTCCAAACACGACGAGTTGAGTTTATACCAAAAAGTTCTACTTTGGTTTCATCTGACCACATGACATTCTCCCAATCCTCTGCTGTATCATCTATGTGCTCTCTGGCAAACTTCAGACGGGCCTGGACATGCACTGGCTTCAGCAGCGGAACACGTCTGGCACTGCAGGATTTGATTCCCTTCCGTTGTAGTGTGTTACTGATGGTGACCTTTGTTACTGTGGTCCCAGCTCTCTGCAGGTCATTCACCAGGTCCCCCCGTGTGGTTCTGGGATTCTTGCTCACCGTTCTCATGATCATTTTGACCCCACGGGATGAGATCTTGCGTGGAGCCCCAGATCGAGGGAGATTATCAGTGGTCTTGTATGTCTTCCTTTTTCTTATAATTGCTCCCACAGTTGATTTTTTCACACCAAGCTGCTTGCCTATTGTAGATTCACTCTTCCCAGTCTGGTGCAGGTCCACAATTATTTTTCTGGTGTCCTTCAAAAGCTCTTTGGTCTTGGCCATAGTGGAGTTTGGAGTCTGACTGTTTGAGGCTGTGGACAGGTGTCTTTTATACAGATAATGAGTTCAAACAGGTGCCATTAATACAGGTAACGAGTGGAGGACAGAAAAGCTTCTTAAAGAAGACGTTACAGGTCTGTGAGAGCCAGAGATTTTCCTTGTTTGAAGTGACCAAATACTTATTTTCCACCATGATTTACAAATAAATTCTTTAAAAATCCTGCCATGTGAATTCATGGATTTTTTTCACATTCAGTCTCTCACAGTTGAAGTGTACCTATGATGAAAATTACTGACCTCTGTCATCATTTTAAGTGGGAGAACTTGCACAATCGGTGGCTGACTACATACTTTTTTGCCCCACTGTAGGCATTATGAGAAGTGGAATATTCACCTCTGCTCTTCCTGGCGGTCTCCTCTTTCCAGGGTAATGTCTAGAGAAAAATAATATGTATTAGTAATGTTATTTTATTTTCCAACTCCTCTACTTAAGTGTACAATGCCAGCAGCAAAACACACCTTTAAATTCACGGAGATTACCCGTTCTATGCTAGTTACTGAAAAAAGTAACTAGTTACAGTTACTAGTTACATTACCAGAGCTGTGCTACTTACTGAAAAAGTAACAATTTATTAGTTCCATTACCAGAGCTGTGCTAGTTACTGAAACGTATTAACTAGTTACAGTCATTAGTTACCTTATTTAAAAAGTAACTCAGTTACTTTGTTGATTATTTACGCCAAAAAGTAATGTGTTACTGTTAAAAGTGACTTCTCAATTACTGTTTGAAAATTGATGTAAATTTCATGCTGCATGGGTGCTGCCACCACCATGTTTTAGCCAGTCCCATTGGTTGTTTTAGAGGTGAGGTCACAGGGGCATTGACCCCTGCTGAAATCTGACTGGCCCCCCCGAAGAGGCCCGTTCTGTCACTCATCCGTCCTTTGCGCATGATCTGATTTATAAGTGGATGCAGTTCCAACTCCAAGCACTAGTGGCGCTAATGAGCCAATTAGACATTTCCATCGTGAAATCTTGTGCGAGGATGTTGGAACCAATCCATGGCCCATCTCGGTTGCCCCATACATAATGAATTACAATTACAGCTACTGGTCAAAGGAGCTGCGTTACGGTAGCGCGTTACTACCCAACACTGGAGACAAACTTGTTCAACAGTACCTCTCTGTAGCTTTTGAAACCAACAACTCCAAATATGGAAGTTTCTTGAACCTTTCGGTTCCCACGGCAACATAGCTGCAGCCTGACTCCAGCTCCCCAGCCGAAGATACGGTGACTCCCTCCAAAGAGCACAGTCTGAAGAGAAATATTCACACATACCTTCATCTCTCTGCGTGTCCGTTGCAGAGACTGTGCATATCTAGCAGCATGGCTGACCTGCGAACCGCTCCGGTGCGTAGGCTGACCTTCTCCGTGATCAGACTCAGAATCTGCTCCAGGCCCTGCTGCATGGTTCGAGGGATGATGAACCGAAATGGTGGACTGAGGAGATCTCCGTTACGGAAAACACTGAACAGAGACAATAAAAACAGTCTGGATACAGCTCAGTCAAACATAACAACACCGGTTCTGTCTCTGCACGCACTCACTGTATGATGCATGGCACGGGTATAAACTTCCTCCACTTTGCAGAAACATTTGGCCTCTGGATTACTTTTGCCTGCTGGGAATATTGGTATTAAACAATCTTTCAACAGAAGTACACCTCACCTACTCAGCACGTCAACTCCCCACACACCCATCCCTGAAAACTCAATTATACCAAATGTGTAATGGCTGCATAACTGTTCCTGCAGCCATGGAAACTAACAGAGAGCCTTTTGGTGGCAAATGTCTGATCTGATATATCAACATTAACCTTTTTTCAGTCTAAATATAATCAGATGCCAATATCTGCAGCTGGATATAATTGGGCACATTAGAACAAAGCAGGCATTTTTACTTCATCACACTTGTCACACATTTAATTGACCTGGAGCCAATCTGAGCAGGAAACTACGCTGTGAATTTGGGCATTAGGCCTGTCGGGACATGCGTTTTTCCCTGATGGAGTTGTGTGGAAACTTTGTTTCACCAAGGGAATAACACACACACACACACACACACACACACACACACACACACACACACACACACACACACACACACATTCTTGCCTTGCATTTATTGTGGGGACCATCATTGACTTCCACTCATTTTAGTGACTGGATTGTACCTAACCACAACCATAACCAGTCTTCTCCTCTGGTAGTCCCAAAACAAAACTTGCTACTATGAGTTGTTCTGTATGGGTCACAAAATTGGAATTTTTTTCTCCATTTTACTGCAAATTTTAATAATCAAAACTGATCAGAATAAAGTACAGGTTAAGAATTTTTTCTTAAAGAGCAAGTCACCCCAAATCAACTTTTTTTTCTGATAAACTATATAAATGTGTGTCTAATCGTGCTGCAGACACGTGTAGCCAATAGTTTTGCACTTTAGTGCATTTTAGTAAAAAATTTAATTTTCTGCCTAAAACTGTCAGTGTTGTGCCGTTGTCAGGTAAAAACTCTGCACTGCATTTAAATTTAAATCTGCCATCACTTTCGGCTAAGAAGTACCCTAGAATGTTAGCTGGTACCATATGATGTCACAATGTCATTGTGAGCCTGTGCGTGTGTGTATTTGTTAGTGGCTCCGCCCTCTCGGTCTGCTAGGCAACAGCATTTGTTGCATTTTTCAAACAGGAAGTGGGAGTTGAGTAAGAATATGGTGGGGGGTGACTTGCTCTTTAATGAAAACAATCTCAAAGCTTCCACATTTTCAGAATAATTACATTTAAACCCAAAGAAGCAAATTGCAATTACTTCATAATTTCTTGTCATTTGCACAATAAATGCAAATATGGGCTATATGTGCATTTTTACATTTGACTCAGCAGGTGCTCGTGGAGCTGTATGGCTTGGGGGGGAGGGCTGCATGCATTACCCTGATGGGCGGTGTTCTGGCCTTGGAAGGGAGGAAAATAGCCGTGTTAGAACTAAAGCCTACCTGAGTTTCATAACGTGTGCCCGGCGGCCGTTTTGCTCCTGCATTCAGGTAACTGCATACCAAGATAAGAAAAATCACAAAGACATTACCTTTACTGATTAAACTGGACACAGTATCAATAATCAACATAAAAGGTACTCACTCCAGTTTCTTGAACCTCTCAAAGCCAGCAGCAACATATTGGGCTCCAGGCTGGAGGTCCTGGAGGTCTGTGACCCTGTGGCCCTGCCTGGGGGTGTACAGAGTCCTGACAGCCAGCGGAGCCCCGATGTTTTTAGTGACTTCATTCAGAAATGCCTCCATGGTTGCCACCTGTCGCTGGTTGATCACAAACCTCCGCCCGCTGTAGTAGGGGTCTCCATTCCTGTAAACCACCACGCTCTTCACAGGAGGCAAGTGGGATGGGACGGCAGCGCTGGCGGCCATAAGCAAACAGCTGTACACACACACAATCTCACTCATTAGGCTATAGATCACACTAATAACTCACCTATTAATAGACACTGTTCAGTGATTCCCTTGCAGGAGGACATATGAAAAGCCAAACCTGAACAATAAGTTGCTCCTGTTGTGTTCTCTGACTAGATTCCAACTCACACCGTTCTGAGCCTTTTAATGCACCCTCACACGGACACTACTACTTTGGTGGCGGTGAGTATTTCCTGGTCGCCATAGCAGCAGGACTAGCAATGACTGGCTTTGTGGGCCAAACCATCGACAGAAACCACAACAAAAGAGGCAGACAGAGGAAGGGAGAATGGGTGGGTCTCTCTGTCGAACACTGAATCAATAACTGCACCCTCATTTTTATACTTTTGGATTTTTAAAACACCCGTGAGATGACACTGAGCTGTTAATTCAAACCCTCTCCAGTGGCTTGTTCGGTTTTACTAGCAACATAAAATTGTGATTTGTGCAGTTTGTTTGACCCTTAAACGCTTCTCTTTCTGGGTGTACACGTCAACACAACAAAAACTGCGTAATAAGAGACGATCTGTTGAATATTTGCAAGCCTCCTATTGTAATAAGTGACAGCTCCTTCTTTTTATTCTCCCGGTGGGAAATCTGAGCTGCGGAGACAACATAAACTGTGTCTAGAAGCAAAAATATCAACTCTAACCTCCACTGAAGGAACCATTTCCTACCTCAGTCTGGCATAATATCAATAAAATGCTGCAGCAGATGATGCAAAGACAGTGGAAAATAATATTTATTCATTTTTACATTAGAAAAGTAATACAATAACATTTTATGTGCACACTTTTATATGTTACATCATAAATAGTTTTGAAAATGAAATATTTCCAGGTGAGCTGCATGTTTTCACGTTCTTTAGAGATATTAGACACACCATCAGGATGCACTCAGTCTGTTCTTCAGGGATAAATACTGCAGATTAAAAGAAAGATGCATTCTTTTAATTTATTTCAAGCCATCCAATAAAACGTGAAGTTTCATCGTGTTTATGCCGACAAACATAACGTTTTACATTAGTAGAATATATAGTATTTATGATGTAAATGCAAAAAAAAAAGCACATCAGGATTCCTGAACCTTACCTTTTTTCTGCTGTCAATGGCCTGCTGGAGCCAGACCAGCTCCATGGTCAGGGTGTTTCTATGGAGACGCAGGGCCTGTGGGGTACGGGGCACATCCTGAGCCAGGTGGTACAGCCGGGGACCTGGACCAAAGATTAAAAACCTTTAAATGACAAATAAAACCTTCTCCTGAGTCTAGGTATGATAGATGATGTCATCTTTAGAAAAAGAGTATTAAAAACAATCTATTTTTTTATGATGTGTCAAAGTTTACCCTCATGGGAGTTGGCACCTAGCTCCACACTGCTCCAGACAGTGGATGATGACATGCTCTTCATCGCTCTACCTGCACCCCCACTAGTGATCCGTTTCTGCTCCTCCTCCTCCTCTCTGACTGTGGTTCTGGGTAAATGAGTTTGTGAATCATCTCTTTCTGCTTCACTTCTCTCCACCAGGACATGATCTGCCTCTGATACAGGAGCTGGACTCAGGGTTGGGGTGACCTCTAAATCCGTTTCTGACGGAATGTTGGAAGGACAAAGCCATGGCCTGTCCTGGAAATAATCACATCCCAAGTATGAGAATTACTTTTTTTACAATTAAACAACTACACACATCATCCTTACTGTGTCTGTGAAATGAGGGATGGAAATAACTGTTTCGGTCCACCTTAAATGCCTTAGAGCTCCGTCAATCTCCATCACGATCTCCTCAAAGTCCTCACGCGCACGGCGAACATCGCTTCTTGTGAGGAACCCTCGTGCACGTGCCTAGCGAGGAGTCGAGAGTAACCATGGTAACGATGTTACGCATTAAAGTGGTCAATTCTTCACCGTAGTTTAACACTACAACGAAAAGAGGTTAATAGAGGAGGCTGTATTTACGTCTGTGCTAACGACTAGCAGCTGATTTAGCACCTGCAACAGATCTACCACAACGACTGAAAGTATCTGTATGTATATAGGCTAAACCTGTTTGCGTTATTGAAGTGCCAGAATACGATTGTTACCTGAAAATGTGTGATAACCATCTCTAACTTGTCCCTGTCCATCACCATGGTCTACAAAGAGCGGGAGACGAGCTTAAACTTTTTACCAACTTCCGACGTCAAACCTTAAAATTAAGAGTATGTTATCATCCGGTATGCAATGTTTTAAGTTTGTTTATCTGTTTATTAGATATTTCACGTGAAAATACGTTTTTATACAATATGATAAAATAATTTGGCTGTAAATAAACGACTTAAACAGTTTTTTGTCAACGCGGAATTTTATTTAGAAAAGCGCTATGCGGAAGTAACCGCGTGTTTGTGTTCCGGTTGCGATTCCGTAGCTCATCACATGGCACTTTTAATTTAAAGTTTTCTGCCACCGCTTACGAAAATGAGCGGTGGTTCTAATCAGAGGACATTGTTCCAGACCTGGGGTGCCAACGTCCCCCAGAACAAGGACATTCAACCGGCGAAAGCGGGTAAGAAGTCCGCTGTAGCGCGCAGGGCAACCTCCAGCAACACTACCTCAGCTGCCACACATCCTCCTCGAAGTTCTCCATGGGCAGTCATCGGTCAAGAGTCCACACATGCACCAGAGGGCACAGATGACATCATACCTTTAGATGAAGAAGATGATGATGACCTGATGGTGGTAGCTGTCTATGAAGCTGAAAAGAGCTTGCAGCTTCAAAATGCTAGCAGTTTCCAAGATGACACTCCTGCAGCTCTGTCTCCTACCCCATCATGTGGGCGAATATATCCAGCCTTTCCAGGTTTTGACAGCTCCTCCGCTAAGGTGTGGATCTATCCCACCAACTACCCCATCAGGGAGTATCAGCTGAAGATATCAGAGGCTGCCCTGTTCCAGAACACACTTGTGTGTCTTCCTACCGGTCTGGGGAAAACCTTCATAGCCTCTGTGGTCATGTACAACTTTTACCGCTGGTATCCGTCTGGCAAGATTGTGTTCATGGCTCCCACCAAACCTCTAGTGGCCCAGCAGATTGAGGCCTGCTACAAAGTGATGGGAATCCCTCAGGCACACATGGCTGAGCTGACGGGTAAAAACAGTCACATAAACACCCATGCTGTTTTAGCTGTTGTTAATTGGTTTTTGCGTTGTTTTAAAGGCAGCACAGCAGCAAAGCAGAGGCAAGATGTATGGAGGTCCAAGCGGGTCTTCTTCCTCACCCCTCAGGTCATGGTGAACGATCTCTCTAGAAACACCTGTCCAGCAATGCAGGTCAAATGTGTGGTGATTGATGAAGCTCACAAGGCTTTGGGCAACCACGCCTACTGTCAGGTAAACACTTTATTTAAATGAGGTAGAACTCCGATCTAGTTGAGTAATTAATTCATTGGATCTGTTTCTCAGGTGATCAGACTTCTCAGTAGCCAGATTCTGCAGTTCCGGGTCCTTGCTCTTAGTGCCAGTCCAGGGGGGGATACAAAGGTGAAAAAGATTATTTTATTCCCCAAATAATGCATTTTAACTATATTATTCTTGCAACTGTCCTCTAACCTCTCCCTATTCACGTCACTTCTGCAGTCGGTACAGTCCGTGATCTCCAATTTGCTCATCTCCCATATTGAGCTGCGTTCTGAGGAGAGCCCAGACATCCAGGCTCATTCGCACCAGCGCAGCGTTGAGAAAATAGTGGTTCCTCTGGGTGAGACCCTATCAGCCCACCAGGCATGCTATCTGCAGGTAGGCACACACTAGCATGTGCGCCCCCCCCCCCCCCCCCCCAGCTGGTCTGGTTTCCTGCTGATTTCCTCAACTGATTAATCCAGTGTAACCAAATTCAGTTTGATGTCACATTCAATTTAATTTGATCCAAAATTTATTTCCTAAGTGATTCTTGACTTTGAAAACTCAGTTTGTATGGATGGTCACATGGCAAAGGAGTCAGAGGTTAAATATTAATGGCTCACCCTCACCTATGGTCGTGAACTTTGGGTAGTGACCGAAAGAACGAGATGGCGGATACAAGCGGCCGAAATGAGTTTTCTCCGAGGAGTGGTTGGGCTCTCCCTTAGAGATAGGGTGAGAAGCTCGGTCATCGGGGAGGGGCTTGGAGTAGACCCGCTGCTCCTCCACATCGAGAGGAGCCAGTTGAGGTGGCTCGGGCGTCTGGTCAGGATGTCTCCTGGACGCCTCCCTGGTGAGGTTTTCCAGGCACGTCCAACCGGGAGGAGGCCTAAAAGTAGACCCAGGACACGGTGGAGGGACTATGTCTCTCACCTGGCTAGGGAACGCCTTGGGATTCCCCCGGAGGAGCTGGCCCAAGTGGCTGAGGAGAGGGAAGTCTGGGCCTCTCGCCTTAGGCTACTGCCCCCACGACCCGACTCCGGATAAGCGGATGAAAATGGATGGATGGTTAAAAATAAATAAATAAATTGAATAAATTGTCAAACATAAACATAATCTGTAAAATAGGATTATTTGGATAAAATAAAAATGTTGCTATTAGATAATTTCCCATTAGGTTTATATGTATAATGTTTATTTGGTTCTGGAACTAAAGTCATGTTTATTTTGGATCCTTGTTGTGAGCTGTACAACATTTCTGGTGCGTTGCTGCCACCTTGTGGACGTTCTTGTATGACCTCGTTATAAACCCCAGCTCTCTCCTTGACGTCATCACGCGTGTTTCTAGTGGCTGTGAGATTCTTTCTTGGTCAGTTCACTTTAAAGTGATTGACTTCTCTTGAAAGCAACACCCTGTTGCCCTCCGTGGTGATGGACCACTGAGTCGTTCAGGATTATTAGCCTGCATGTGTGTGTGCGTGCAAAAGTTTTCTTATTTTCTCTTAAGTTGTTCAATTTTATTCTCTGTTTTGTATCTCTGCATGCAGGGCATTGTTAAAATCATCTTAAAAAGAATTGTTTACTTGAAAAAAATGGAGAGTAACGTTGTAATCCTTCATAAAATGAGCATTAAGTCTGTCTTGCTGACAGAATGAACAAATCTGTTGGAAATGAAGCAGAAAACTGAATCAGTCATGCAAAAAGGTGTTTTGCATTCAGCTTTTGGCTCATTTGAATCACAGAGCAGCGTGCATCACCCATGAGGGGTCCTCTGTTTTTGATCTTCAGCGTTATGGTTTTGATTAAGCTTGCAAATGGCGCATAGATCTACTCTCTCTTCTATGCTCACGAAAAATTATGAGGTTATTTGGGATTTTAATGATTAAAATCCTTTAGAAGGACTTGACTAATGTGAACATAATTCATCCATAAACTGGTTCAAGAAAATACTTGGTTACAGATGGATTATTGAAGGTAAGATTAAAATCTTAAATGTGTTTTTGGGTGTGCTGTACTGTACCACATGCAGAACTGTAGCGTGTCTGGTGTGCATGTACCTGTGAAGACGGCTCATCGTGTTACTGAACTCCAGTAACTCGGCACCAGCTCCCGTCGTGAAGTGATTATGTTATAAATTTCAAAAGTGGGTGTGGCATGCTTAGTTTTCCACATTTCGTCCAATCAAGTGGAGGCAGTAGCCACTTTTGGACTTTTTGTTATAGCAACAGAAGTTATAACCTGATACGTGTTGATCCACTGCTTTAACATAGAGAAATAGTAGCGGTTTTGGTTTACTTTCAAAATCTGGACGTTTACATTAACTTCCTTGTAGTAAAGTGTTAATTACCGAGTCAAATTTCTTTCAGAATTTACTTAATAGCTGTGTTGTCAGAGAAACGGTACAACCCATGATACCAGCATATTTTATTGAACAAAGAAAACCACAGTAGTGCTAGTATGACGCACTTACGTACATTTTCACAATACATCACACTAAAGATACAAGAAAGAAAAACAAAGTATTAAGTATGATTTTTAAGGAAAACAACAAGCTACATGTATAATGGCTTTTGCACATTTTATACAGATAAATGCTACTGTCATTTTACCTTAAAATAAACTCTTTGGATGTTATTTCAATTAATTAAAGTCTTTTGAATCAGTTTTATTTCGGACGGGGCAACCTTCCCAACCCAACAAAACCCACTAACAACTTCCTCCTGTCAGAGGAAACACCATCACACGGTGATGATTTCGCTCATTGGCTTCCAGTTGTATTTCCCCCATGCCCCAGCAGTTAACGCACATGTTCAGAGCAGAAACATTCCCACACCTCTGTGAAAGATGCGTTGAAAGAACATTAAGAGATTCCAACTAAAACAGAACATAGACTTTTACCATAAGGACTATTATCACAGTAGATATTCTCTGTGCACTTACACTTTTTGTGATTGCATTGTCTCCACTTAGCAGCAGTAGTGTTTGCAATACATCAGTGAATTCTCACTGACGTTGACACAATGTAGTAAGAAGTGAGAGAACATGTTATAACATACACTGATAAATACTTGGGTGTGTGTAAACAGGAATGCATTATGTTGTGTCAGTGACATCAGACGTAATCTGCTGTAGGTTCTGATTGTCGATTAGCAGTACGACCTGTTCTCAGCATTTGGTTTGCAGACGCTTGATGCCCTGTAGCTTTACAGTCTGCACAAACATGTTACAGTCTGGATATTCGTGTCGACGTTTGTGCTGAGTCTAAACACGATCCAAGCCACTGGTTCTGTTCTGGGGGGACAGTTTTTGGACTTCTCGTTCCCACATCCCCTAACCATGACAATGATTCGGTTGGGCTCCTAGGCCCAGAAACTGGCTTGTTTGATTATTGGTCGTTTAATGAGATATTGCACTTATTGTTGAAAGACAATAAAAACTGTTACAGGCATACCACAGAGCCAAGAGCTGTACTTGATAAAACAAATCCAGTGATGAAAGAACGAAAGCGATAGAATGATGGAGTCACTAACATGGCTAGACATCAATGAAAGGGTCACAGTAAGGCTGCGTGTCCGCTGGGAGCCTATTTTCTCGTGAATAGGCAGACTGTTGCACATTTCTGACACCACTCAGTGGTCACTATACTCACAGAGCACTAACAGCTTAAACAATCACAATTTTAGGAAAGTTTTGTTTCCATCTTCAATGCAGTGCTCTACATTTACATCTGGTTCATGAGTGGCAGTCATTAGCATCAGCTCTTGTAAGTGAAATAAAACCTTCTTTCTTTTTTCTATCTGCTTTGGAGTGTGTTAGGCTGGTGGTCGTTTCAGGTAGGGATAGAGACTGAAGATGATGTGCACCTGAGGCTGTGGCAGAGCTAGCTGGGGCAGTGTTAAGAGAGTTTGAGGCTAAAGGGTCATAGGTAGGAGGCTACCATCCCATCAGCGTCGCTCCAGGAACCAGATCTCATTCTGACGGTGGCTGTGCGCCGGGTTGGTGTAGCCGGCCACTATGAAGGAGTCGTTGACGCACACGCCTGGAGAGCCCAGAAGCTCTGCCATGGCGTTGATTTGGTTGATGATGGTCACTTCGTTGGTGGGCCCAGTAAAAGCTCTGCCATGAGGAGAAAGCAGTGTGTGAGGCCTCAATAGAAACAAATGACTTGGTGTTTAGGAGCATATATTTAAATGGGTCCTAAAAACATTTCTTTTTGAGTCTATAATGTATATGAACATATGTTGAGACTCATAATGGTCCAGGAGCCCTGATAAATGGCCAAATAAAATCCCATAATAAAGCCCTACAATGGAAAGAATAACTTTCCTCGCCCACTCGTCCAGGACATGGAAATCAAACGAGCTGTGTGCTGATTGGCTAGTTTAGCCCAATGGCTCTATTGCCCCTTTCCCTTACTGAATATGGCTCAGTTCGGCTCAGCTTAAAGCAGCTCATTGTGGCTTGCTTTTCCAAGTCGAACTGTGACACAGTGAAGTCACATTTTCTGAACGCTAGGAACCACCACAAAGCAGGTACTGAAAGGTTGGTGGTAAATATCGACTGCTGCTGCTGGAAAAGGCTGTCCAACCGATCCAAACCACTTCAAGTCATGCTGAGTAGTGGTGTGGGAAAAGGGGCAAATCACACTGCCCAAAGCTAGAAACCTTGTGTATAGTATCCAAAGCAAGCTATGGTCCTATCTGGCATTCGTTCAAAGTCTGGAGATTCCCGTACTTCCTAGAACATTGCGTCTATTCTGACACTCTTCTTCAAAGACGTTAGCAGTAGCTCAGGCTAGCTTTGTTCTGCTGTTAGCATTACCACGACCAACGTTAATATATTGCTAACGTTGAAATGGGTTGGGACATGCAAAGGGTGTGTGTCTATGCCTACTTGCTACAGCAGCTTTTGTCAGAACAAACATTACTAACTAACTTGCATAGTTAAGCAGGTGGGAGATGCCGCAGACTTTTTGGCATGCTATCTTAGACCCCCCAAGCTGCCTATAATCAACAACAAATTACATGCAGGTTTGAGTTCTGGGATCCTTTTATTATATTTTTCTACTAACCTTGTGTACACGGTAGCGGCAGGCCAGACCTCGATGATGATCTCATTGTCATAAGGTTGTGGCGGCTGGGCCTGGTGCTCAACAGGAAGGAAGTAAGCTACAGTGACTTCCTGGGAGATCACAGAATGGTCCTCATTTGTTCGCACTACTGTCACAATGGGCAGAGTCATGCCAAGGTAGTCGCCTAGGATGAAACCAAGTTAAACAAGTGATTCCAAGTGCTGGAAGATGACTGTTAGTCCACTGCTTTTGCACTCACCTACGGAGTTCTGCTGACAGATATATCTCATTATCTTCATGAAACCATAGCAGATGCTCTGTTCATATGTGTCCTCCCGCATCGTTATACAAGCCCAGTGGCCCTTTTCATAGTGGCGTTTCTCAAACAGCAACTCCCCACACTAGAGCATAAAAAACCAGAAACGGTGGAGAAAGTCAAACATGAATTTTAAACAGTAAATGTGTTATAAATCCAGTTTATGTATTATTATTATTATTATTATTATTATTATTATTGTTGTTATTGGCACATCTGATACCAACTCACTGACATGTTACCACACTGAGAATGGGGTGCTGTGACTGGCCTTTGACTAAAGTCTGCAACCAAGTTTTAATGGACTAATTAAGTTAAACCAATTAGCCTTCTTTATTTATAATCTCCCCTAAGGAGTTTAAACAGCTTGGGTGACACGATCGACTTGCCAGAAATAAATAGATGACCCCCAAACACACTCAGGCAATCTGTACATGGCTGTAGGCAGCTTGACAGTGGTATGATTTATGTTCTTGAGTATAAATACTACATGCTATTGAAATGAAAAAATATTTTGTGATTTGCAGTATTAATGTGCATAATATAAATGCTGCAAAGAATGACAAAAATGGCATTTAATTATGTGCATTTTTAGAAAACTTTAACTTGGTCTGAAAACTTCCAGTTGAATGAAACTAACCCGATAAAATTAAAGAAAATTTCTGCTTCAAGGAAACATTTAATTCGTTTATTGTTTTGCAATTTTTTTTAAGTTCACTTTTATTATTACTTATTTACCTTTTTTACTGTCTGAGTGTTTTTCTAATATTCTTTTACTATGCATTTATTTATTGTGAAAATGTACAGTACCTTGGGCTACTACAAAGGTAGTAGAAGGTGCTATAGAAAAAAATTTTGAACATTTTCTCTCTGTCACCACATCTAAATGAATGGGTTTGCTTTAAATTATTAGGCTACATAGCAAATCCCAGTTATACAAATACCCATTTATACAAATACCATTGTTCCCTTCAAACCAGGTCACTAATTCAGTAAGTGTTCCAGTTTAAGTACATTATAAATGCACAAAGAAAACCTTGATTATTTAAGCTGAACGTATACAGTGTCCTGGTTAAATAAAAGCCCAAACAGATCAATACCTTCTCTTTTCGCATTAGGAGAGTGAAAGGAACATGTTCTCTTTGACTGCGTCCATAGTTGTTGCTGCTTAGTTGTTGAATGGGTTCTGCCATTTCTGTCGAACAGATAACCAGATTGTTAGATGCTTGGAAAAAGAATGAAATTATTACTGAAAGTTGGCAAGTAGACAAAGTCGAGAAAAAATGTGTTTTAGCCTCTTTCTGATGCGATTTTGAGGCTGGATGTTATTAAAAGTAAAATAATTTCATGCAGATATGTAACTTTTATTAAAATTGATGGGAGAGAACGTTGGATAAAGCTGCCCAAGGCCACATATAGACCAGTATTAAGTCAGTCTACAGCAGGAGTCAGTGTTTGGAAAGCTGTGGGACAGATTTTTCCTAGAGCTGTGATTTGTATCTTGTATCCATCAACAGAAATTCCATCTTGGAATACTTTTATTATAATGATAGCAGTGGTACAGATAGACATCTACCAAAATGGGTCTGGCGTAGCGGGGAAGCATGTCATAAAGCACGAAACCAAGTATTAACAGGCTAAAACTCTTCTAGAAACATGAACGTACATTGAAATCTTTAGCCACTGAATCCACGGCATTCACAGTCGATGTCGTGAAGGACAACGGGGTCAAAGGGATCTGATGTAATTAGGTGATCAATTCTTTGTTGGCTGGTGGTTTTATGTGGGAAGCAGAGAGATCATTAGAATTAGGGATGTCCCGATACAACTTTTTTCACTTCCGATATGATTCCGATATTGCGGCCTTCAGTATTGACTGATACCAATATCAATCCAATATGTCAGCACAAATCATACATACTTTTACTTATTTCATAGTGTAAAATGTATAAAAGGCTTGATCAAGTGATATTGCTCAAACAGAAAACAAAAGCCAGCAACAGTATGCATAAAAAACTCACAATTTTTTTTGGTTGCATAAATGTGAACAGTTGAGGTTAGGGACAAAATGAAGAAAAACAAAATGCTGTTCACGGACCATCTGCTACAAGTTGAGTGTCTAAAGTTTCAATTTCACACTCTGAGAAAATCCTCAAGCAATGTTTTGTGATCCTGCTTCAAACACACGATGGAGTTGGACTTATCAATCTTCCCCGGTTCTGTTCCACCACGGGAAACTTTGCATGACGAGTGTTGCACTGAGCCAAACTGTCTTTCTCGGACTTTAACGAAAAATTCAGCCACATGGCCGACATTGTTCCTTGCTACTTTGCTAGCACACACTGTTCTGATCACGTGGACGTTGCATGCTTGATCTGGGCACTGATGGATAGATTTGCTGGAATGGAATTTAAAGCAGAACGTGCTGCTAATATCGGAGATTTTTGATGCAGTCCGATATAATCTGATGCAGTGTTTTTGGGCTGACATCCGTTATCGGAACGGGACATCCCTAATTTGAATGGTATTAATTCGGAATTGATGGGAAAAAGTGCGTAATCGAGTAAAGACTGGTAACACCTATGCTTGAAACAAGCTGCTGTCGTCTCTGTTGCAAGAGACTGGATTTGCAAAAGGCTCAACATTCTATTAAGTGTAGTCCTGTTGGGTGTGTTACTTCAAAAAAGACCAACAAAGTTTAAAAAACATGTTACACCACAGTTCAGGCCTCTTTAACAGTGTTTTGGGAAATATCCTTTGGAACAGCTCCATCTTGTTTATATGCCTGAAGTCTTTCACACATCCACATCAGTTATTAAGATCTGCTCCTCTCTCCTCATTTAATCTGTCAGTGACTCCGTATTGGCTGTGAATAATATGTCTCCAGAATATCAAACTGTCATTGCACAACTCTCGAGCCAAGAAGTCAGAAAAATGAAATTACTTACCGCAGTTTTTTTTTTATTTTTTAACCTTTCTATGAGAGTTTGGTGCGTACATCCCTATTCTCACGTACAAATATGTCAAATTATGTTAAGAAGCTATCAAGGCAAGTGCAGGTGTGAAATGAGATTATGACAGGATGAGCCTAACTACTCCATTTGAGTCCATCCCAATTAAAGCTAAGGACTGTGCTCTTAGCTTGTGTCCTTGGTCAAAACCACAAAACTAATCCACCCTGGAACAAAAGGCAACAGTGATTTTGTTTTCCTCTAATAGTGATGGTCTGAGAAGGCAGAATGGAGGATGTTCCAGTAACTGTTACAGGATTCCCAGTGAGCTCCGTCAAGGTTTTCACACACATATCAGACTAGCAATTGTGAGTATGCCGATAATGTTTTACCATGGTTGTAGCTAGGGATGTAAGAAAATATTGATATGGCAATACATCAGATATTTTTTCCTGCAATTTTATATTGATATTCAAAAGCCGTATGTTGAATTTTTGGAAGAATTTTCATGCAAACATTTGTGTATTTTCTTTTCTTTTGGTGCAATTCAAATGCCGGCCGCTAGTTGGCAGCAGTGTGCAGTGGGTTTTGTTTCCACCACTGAAATGTAAATCCCTCTGTTATGGTTCAGATACCTCCTGTTAAATATGTATCAGTTTGGACTGTTTATTGAATTTACAATAATTTCAGTCTAAAAAAATCACTAATATCATCTGGCTGAATGTATCGTATCGTCACCCCTGTATCTTATCGCCAGAATTTCCCCAATACACATCCCTAGTTGTAGCTATAACAGAGACATCTAAATTGGCTACATAGACCTAAACTGTCATTAATGAGGCAAGACAAAGAAAACAATTCTGCCATTTTTACTTCCGGTTAAAGGTTGAGTGTGGCATCTTTTGCCCTATTGCTTGAAAGGCAACTTACGATTAGATGTCTTGTTACAAAAAATAATTTAAATTGCCTCTGAAACGTACAATCCTGGAAAACCTCGTCAATCATTGGCCCGTTTTCAATGATTGGGCCTTCTGACCACCTTCCCACCCCTCTACATGGAAAAAGTGCACATTCTCAGCTTGGAGCAGTCAAACAGGAAATGAAGCCAGGGCTGGGCTAGCGAGGAGGCTTAGGAGATCAAGTGAGAGAAGGTTTGGGTTGGGTTTCTGGAAGTTTTGACCTTTTGATTGTGAGATTTTCCCAGATTGTTGGTGGCACTGAGTTGCTGAGTATTTGAAGTTAAGAATAAACAAAGAAAACTAAAAACGTCTCATTTTTTTATTGTAAAAACACCACACGATATTAGCTAGCATTCTAAATAGTTGTATGATTATGTATGTGAGTCAGGTTAGGATATATGGCACAAAAGGTGCCAACAATGGTTCATAAAGTTGTAATAGTTTACGGTATCTATTTTGTGTGATGGTTCTGCAACCATCAGGTTCTGTGACTCTAGAAGGGAGCTGGAAAAAAGAGGGTTTGACCTTTGAGTTCTTTTATCAAAATCTTTTAAATGGCTTTTTCTGAAAACGTCGCCTCTACTTTTAACCTTTAGGAGAAACAAGTTGCTTGAAGCCCAAGCATATGCAGTCCTCTATTTGCTGTATATGTGTAGAAACTCTGAATTTAAACACTCATATCATAATCGTAGTTATCATCAAGGTAACTCTAGCCGTAATTTCAATGCTGACGGTCTGGCGTCTCTAAGAGTTAATTGTTAAAATCTGTTAATCTATAATCTGTGATTAACACTGTGTTGTTGTCTCCTGACAAGCACATTGTCTAGCTTTGCTTTATCATTCTGTTGCTGGTGTGTTTGCACCAGTTGCATGTTCCAGTCAGACTCAGACAGTTGAAAGCAACAAAACACTGAATGCTCCTGCAAATATGCACACATAAACACAAACACAGTGGACATGTGGACCACATAGGTTGGTGTGGAACATAATTAGCTCCTTATTATTACCATTACATATCATCAGATATTCATTGCAAAGTCTAGATCACACTTTACTACATATTTATTTCAAATGTGGCATTTCTGGGGTCCAAATACAAGATATAAAGTTGATCTAAGCAAAACACCTTTCTGTTAATACGTTTTAACAGAAATAGATTATTTTATCTAAGTGGATTTCAGGAAAAGCCTTGCATATCAAAGCAATCGATGCACCAACACTTAGGTTAGTTAAAGCATTTACTCAACACCTCTGTATAAATCCTTTTATACTTCTACTCTGCAGAGATCAGAACCATAAACCTTGCCCAACGTTCTGACACGGTGGTGTAGTACTCGTTTTTTTTCTATCCTATGTTAACTTGATAAAAATAACCAGTTGAAACACATGGTTGCCTGAAAGCGTTGGGAATGTCTAAGCTGGAACTTGAAACTGGGTCAATGCACATGGCGGAAATTTATGAGAAAAGTTGAGCGCCCCACACCTGCTGTTTTGTTTCCCATAGTTTATCAGGCTACTCACGTAAAGATAGATTATTTTAATTTTAATAGGAGGAACAATGGAAGCGGATCTCTTGATTGTTTTGTTTTTTTACCTTGGGACACCTCCACTTGATGACCCCTCGCTACTTCCTGCCAGTAATGGAGTAGTCGGTCTGAGCTGTCGTCCGCCTCCATGGTTTCTGCTTCCTCTTCCAGACTACCATTGCCCGAGTCTGAGAGCTGGTCCTCGGAGAAGGACTCCAGGTCCTCCAGGGTGATCATCCCGTTCCGCTCGGTGCTGCTGCCGCTGTCACCGCCGCTCATCTGACAACCACCTCGGTCCATTTCTAAAGTAGCAAGTTTCCTACCGAGTGGAGAGTTGTTTATCTAAAAGTTGCAGCTACTTATCTAGCGGGGGGTGGATCTACGCTTTGTGCTCCACTTCGCAGCGGCGGTGGACAGTTTGTCCAGATTAAGACAGCCGGGGTCTGGTTAACAAACCAGACGCTGCTAAGCTACACCGGGCTGAGTTAGCCATACGTGCGCCTGCCGTCTGACCCGCTGCTCGTGTTCCTCAGCTGGGAACACTAGAAGATTCAAAAGAAGAAGAGAGGATCTTCTACTTCACCCGTGCGGAGGAGCGTGACGCTTCGATGCTGAGCCGAGTCTAATGTTTTTATGAGGGCGGGCTACGCTGTGACGCCACGCTGCAGCCTCTCACAAGCCCCGCCCCATCGCGCTGTCTGAACTGATAAATCTCCGAGATACCAGTCAGAACTTCAAAGAATACAGGGGTAAAAGGGTCAAAAGGTCAGACGGAACTAATCATCTCAGCAGATCCAGATGCCTATTTAGCTTCATGTGTAGTTTATGTACATGTTATTAAATAATTGTCTTAGTAACATCCCGTCTCTAATGTAACATTTGTCTAAAAATGAATGCTCATGTAGTTTAATCAGCTATTTCCTCAGTTTGATTTTATGACTTGACTTTCATAAATCTCTTTTTAAAAAAGATTTTTAATGATTAAAAATGTTAACATGCAGATGAATAGAAACAAACCTAAATTTGAGCGCTAGGGGACAGCCTTGACAGGATCTCATGTGATCTGTGTCACTGCAATGGCCAGCCACCATGCTGTACCCTTCAGCATGCACGTAGAGCGAGGACATTATATAATCCACAATATTCGTGGTGGGAGTGTCTGTGTGAGTACACACACACTAGAGTTTTACAAGGAGGAGGGTCGTCATTATCCGCCTTTCTCTCCATGGCTTTTATGCACCACCATTGAGGTTTTATTAAATAGCAAAACTACAGTGTGTTTCACTGAAACTCACAGAAACATAAGTGATGTTTCTCACTCAAACAAACAAACCAAATGGGTCTTCTTCTTTATCCTGTAAGTGTCAGCGATGCTGAAGCAGACACACCGTTCAGTTAATTGATTAGGCTTCATTGAAGTTATAAAAAACAGTTTTTTCCCCTTTACTTTGGTTATTTGCGTCATTACTCAAGTCTTGCTATAAAAATATTGGCAACGCTTTGGTTTCCAAAAAAAAAAAAACAGGAAAACATTTGATTCAGTTTCTACAGCTGTTCAAATGTAAAATGTACTTTAACCTTATTTCCCATGAACACTTAAAAAGATTACGATATTTTAAAGAGTCACAGAACTTTCTGTTTGCACATTTGCCTGTTGCACTCCAACTAGGCAAACACAGTGACCTCACTAATCTGGTTCTACATAATCCCATAATCTGGACATGACCGCTATGTGCACATTTTCACATTGAGATCCTCCTGTCAGTTAGCAGGCATGAGCTAGGGGAACCAGCATAGGGCTTTTTCTTCCACAATATATATGAACAAGCAAATTTTTAAAGATCTACAAAGTGTCCCTAACCCTCAAGGGTTCAACAAATCAGTGCATGACATTACGCCTTAGATTAGATTTTTGTATTGATGGGGAAATTGAGATCGTATAAAAATCGCAGCATGCCGGTTTATTCAGAAATGTTAAATCAAAAACCGATTTATCCACGGTTCATCTGGGTTCGTGCAAGACTTCAAAACAACAGACAGACACTCGTTGATGCCACGCTGACTTTTATTAAACACATTCCTGAGTGTGAAACTGTCAAAGTGCCCTGAGGGCTGAGGAACCAACTCGGGTTTCCAGTCTGGCAACATGTCGCTGGAAGTGCATTTCGTGTTTTCGTACCAGATCAGGACAATGTCTACTTCATTCAAATGAACAAAAGAATGGATTTTTAAAACTTAAAACCTTGCTTACTTTCATTTATAATACTTTATACTTATTTCCTTTAACATTTTGAGTTTATTGGATCTATTTTATACCACAGCCGTTTCGTTTCAACACAGAAAATCCATGTGAAGGGCAAAGGTGAGTGGTGTGTTACATCCTCCAACTGTAGGGGGAGCCCTAGAGCAAAAGAAAAAGAAACTCCAGTGTTGAATAAAAAAATAAAAAGTTTTGGTTTAAAAATACATGTTTTAATGTTGTCCAAAATGTCTTTTATCACGTTGTTTCCTATTTCTGCACATTAAATAACGTTTGACCACATCTGAGTTGTTTCCTCAGTTTTTCAGCCCATCTGAGCATCTTTGTTGTGGTTTAAACCGTATCGTGTGCGGTTACAAAGCCTCACCAGATGGTCTGGCCTCTTTACACTTGGACGATAAACACATGTGGGATATGCTGCTGATGCTTTCCAAAACGTCCGCGGGATTAAAGATTATTATTTAACCGCATCCTTTTGTCTTCGTAAGTACTGAGCGCACTCACATTTCGCCTCACAAGTGAGCTGAGATGTCAGAAAATAGGACAAACATTTGGTAACGTTAACATTTTGAGAGGAAAGCTTTCAGTCGTAATTACCAAGTCGGGTTGTGTGTCAGGACCAACAGATGCTAGAATACATAAAGTAACTTTTTCCAACTCTGACTGATGGGGAATAAAATAGTAACCACAGATGAGTTCCCTAATAACCAATTTCCTTCTTTTGATAACACTGATCCATTAGTGTAAACGAGCTTTCCCTCCAATTTTCCATGATGCTAGCAAAGCCAGAAAATTGCCCGTTGTCTCTTAGAAGGCATCATTTTCACACACAAATTGATTTCAGTGTTTAGCCTACTTCTTTAGAGGAAGGAGACATTTTGCCCGTCTGAAATTGAAATTGTGACGACACAGCCGCTCATTATCTGCAGCTACGAGGTTGAAAAGACTTTGTTGAAATTGTGTCTCGAATTGAGCCGTTGAGTCTGTCTCCTCATTATTTTGAAACGAGGACAGAGGAAAGGAACAAAGAATTCGACACATCTCATTCAGTGTTTACTGTCAACTTACGGCAGCAGCAGCAACTCCTTTGTGTGTTTGAAAGGCCATGCTTGTAGTTTTTCTGTGAATCAGCAGGGTGCCAGGCTGTGTACAGTAAGAGAAAACACGCTGTTGTTGATGACCTACATTGATGTTTGTCCCTCCTGCCAGGTGCTGGAGAAGTTCATGTCTCGTCTTGTTCAGAACCGCGTGATGGCCCACAAAGAACTGCGGACTCTCAGCAAATACCAGCTCATTCTGGCTCGAGATCAGTTCCGCAAGAACCCGCCACCACACATCAAGGCACGTACTCAACATAAATATTTAGCATAATTTAAAAGTTAACCCCTTGTGTCAAGCTTTGTTTGATCTTAAAGAGGACCTAGAAACTAAACCGACCTTTTTTCTTGTTCATTTTATTTTATTTCATTAATTTACTTATGAAGCACCTTAATGCCACCAGCCAAGGCGGTCCAAAGTGCAGTACATGATAAAATCATTGATCATATACATTAAAGTTAGAGACAACAATAAGACCGTACTAAAAATGGATGTCATAAGACATTAAAAAAAAACCACTAAAAGCAATAAAATCTAAATGCACATAATGCTTAAAAACAAAACAGAAAATCCAAGAATATCACCAGAAAAATAGCAATTAAACCAAAAGAGTACAAAAAAGAATTAAATTAACTAGATTTGTAATTTTTATTCAGTTTAGCTTTAAAACTCCAGGCAGTAGATGACTGTGTAATATCTAGTGGGAGTTTGTTCCAGAGTCTTGAGGCCAGTAATGCAAAGGCTCGCTCCCCTTGAGACCTGCAACTAAACCTTGCTGTTGAATAAAGACAGCTTAGGTGTCAAAAGTAGCAAGCCAACCAGTCTAAGCCATGTGTGACTTTTTTTTAATGTTAATTAGAAAGTTGACGAAGTTGTTAAAGGCTAGTAGCTTGATTTCTCAGTTTGCCGACCGTATATATAAAGCACAAGAAGATGAAAATTTTTGGTTTCTTTTGGCATCACGGCGGAGCCTGGAAGTAAAAGTAAGAGAGTAATGTTTTTGAAGGCGAAGCAAAGAGCTAAATCCAGGGTGAACAGCTGCGTGGCCCACTGTCATTTGAGGAAGCTAAAGTAGACTACGAAACCATGGACTGATGGTGACCTGGCTTTGTTGCTGGACTAAGAATATTTTTTGTCCAACGGTGTGTATCTTTTTACTTGATGGCCTATTTTAGTTTCAGTTGGCTCATCATTAGCTTGTTGTTAGCGTAGCTACAACAAACTGCGGCAGGTTTTTTAATTTTTTTTTTTTACAAAAGTTACAATTCCGCTTTCAACCATTAGACGGGAGAAGTAGGTAAAATAATTCAGTGCACAATTTTAAATCTGCAGCCTATAGTGTTATTTCTTTTAAAAATGAAATATTTTTGCTTCCCTAGCTGTTTGTAACTTTAAAATAAAACAACAAAAATAATCAGCAAATACAACTGAAACAAATACCTGAGTTATCACACCCAACTGCAAATCCCCCAAATCTTTCACAAACTTAATGGCACTAATATTGATGACGATGAGGCATTTAAATGACGTTTACATTAAGGGAGCATCACGGCTGACGTGTCATTTTGCTGTCTACAGGTTCATCAGCTGGGAATGCTGGAGGGTGACTTTGCCCTTTGCATCAGCCTGTATCACGGCTATGAGCTGCTGATGCAGATGGGCCTCAGGTCGCTTTTCTTTTACGTCCAAGGAATCATGGACGGGTCCAGAGGTTAGTCTTTTTACTCCCTAAATTTCAGTTTCTTGTGTGTTTTACCTACAGAAAGGCTTGAGGTGCACAAGAGGAACATTCTCTCTTCACTTTTGTCCCTTTTAGCTCCATCCTTTCACTCATTAACTTTTGATGTCCACACATCTTTGGGGGCTTGTGTCAGTTGCTGAGTATTTTTCTTTTCTACTCAGAGATGTCACGGGCCAAGAATGAGCTCCAGAGAACTCCCATGTTCATGGACCTGTATCATGAGATGGAGACAGTGTTTCTGAAGCCACCTGCTGGTGTGTGATGCCATTTCTAACCACACAACTCCAGAAATAAGAGTCTGATTGTCTTAGTTATTCTATTAACCAAAATCCTGATGTCACAACTGCTTCCAGGTCCAGAAGAACTGTTCGTCTACAGTCATCCCAAACTGGAGAAGCTGGAGGAGGTGGTTTTGCAGCACTTTAGAGGCTGTGCTGAGAGCTCAGCAGACACTAATGGTGACAATGACGTATCTGTTCAAGCTTAGCGCTCAAATCTAACCTCAGCATTACATTGGATTTGAAGAGTTAGAAACAAAATGAGTGACTCTGCATCTCATCGTCTCGGATCAGGTTCTGAGGGAGCGAGCACACGTGTGATGATCTTTTCATCTTTTCGGGAGAGCGTCCAGGAGATCGCAGCGATGCTGAACCGCCACGCTCCGCTGATCAGGGTCATGACATTCATGGGCCAAGCCTCGGCTGGAAAAGGGGTGAAAGGCTTTACCCAGAAGGAGCAGCTGGAGGTAAGAAGTGTTTTTATGCCTTGAACACAAAGTATTTGTATAATAAAATATAATAAAAGATTATAAACTCTTTACCTGGACTTAGGTCGGTGTCGAGGCCTTTTATAACAGATGTAATCCTGCAGAAAAGAGCAGTTCAAGGAGGACTTTACTGTTAATGATCAGATTTCAACTCATGGTTACTCGTTGACTTTAAATCACATCCTTAGATAAAAAGACAACAATCTTCTTTTCGCTCGTGTGTCAGGTGGTGCAGCGGTTCCGACAGGGAGGATTTAACACGCTGGTGTCGACCTGCGTGGGGGAAGAGGGGCTGGATATTGGAGAGGTGGACCTCATTGTCTGCTTTGATGCACAGAAGAACCCTATCCGCCTTGTGCAGCGAATGGGACGGACTGGACGGAAGCGGCGCGGGCGCATCGTGGTCATCCTCGCAGAGGGGCGGGAGGAGAGGGTGAGCTCTCCTCAGTTACCCGCATCTACAGAACCCACATTTATTCTAACAGAGCTTGAATCTGCACAGTGTGTGATGATAAACACACCCAAAGCTCAGCGATCCTAACAGAAAGATTCCCTTTGTCTCCCACAGACGTACAACCAGAGCCAGAGCAACAAGCGCAGTGTGTACAAGTCCATCACCAGCAATAAAAATGGCTTCCATATGTACCCAAATAGTCCCCGGATGCTGCCTGAGGGGGTCAACCCCAGACTCCACAAGATGCACATCACCTGTGGACAGTTTGACCACCGAGAAAGCAGCAGGAGGTCAGCCAGGGGTCGGCGGTCCAACTCAGAGGGACGGGCGTCCCTCATTCATCCGCAAAACCTGTGTGAGTTTCACAGCTGAAGCAGACGCCGTGTGAGTTTACTTTTATGTAGTTTCATGTGCATGTGTGTTTTTCAGTCCAACAAGGCAATCAGTCATCAGACGGCTTTCTGAGCAGCTCAGAATATTCTCTGTGGGCGTCCACCATGAAGCTGGAGGACCATGAAGCTCATCCAACCCTGAAACCATCCCACTTCCTGTCGATACCCAGTGACCCGGAACCTCAGGTCTCTTCCTATTTCCCGTTTCTTTGGCTTTTGTGAAGCAGAAAATGTGTTTGCCAATCCGAGTCTCGGGGTGGGACGCAAAATTCCACATAAATGGTTTAAAACGAAGATATTTTGGAGTTTATTAGTCACACAGCAACTGTAGCTGCAATCATTCATGAGAACAAAACTTCCAAGCAACAGTTTGGAAGTCTTAGATGGAAATATCTACTGGATTTTCCAGGTTTGGCTTGATTTTAAGGTTTTTATGCATAAATAGTGCTTCATTTTTCTGTGAAAGGAGGACACGTCCCTGGACAGACCACCGTCCAGAGAGCTGTCTTTGTGGGAATGGAGACACTGGCAACACAAAGCACTTCCTTTCCACGCTGTCGACCATTCCCTCCGCTGTTACCACTTTGTTAAGGTGATGGAGCTCATAGATGGCATGAGAGAGGAAAATGAGGTAAGCCACTGGAAATCAAAAGGAGTTCATTTAAGGTCACCCGAACAAACAAACAAACAGCTTCAGAAATAAATCAGATTAAAGTTTATACGACCACTAATTCAGCGTGCACGCCGATCGGGTTCCCGGGGATGGGAAAAATGGTTTCGTAAAACACTTCCAAGCCCCTTTTGTAAATCCTGGCTGGTTTTGTAAGAGGTCCGTGTGCGTTTACGTGAAGGGAAAAGCAAACTTTGTAAGGATGAGAGGAGTCGCCTGTGAACATACAACCATGGTTTGTTGTGAGTTGCTAAATTAGTCGTTTTGACGTCTGTGGCAAGTTCCTGGAAAGATAAACAGACTCTATTAAGGAAAATTAGTTCAAAATAAAACAGCAGGGTTTGTTCTACACTTGGGGGGGGTGTCTTCTCTGTCCTCAGTTCTATTCACCAAAAAAGATACCAGATGAGTTTTTTAAAGCACTAAACATAACAGCTGCTTTACTTTTAAGATGGTTTAACCTTTTTCTGAACTTTGATCTTATTTCAGATCAGTTTTCACATTTTTGTCAGTTTTTCTGCAGTAGTTAGCAAAAACTGACCCTTTTCACCATATTTATCATTAAAGCAGGATGTTTTCTGGTTTTAGTTTCTTTGTTCTGGTTTTCTCATCTCACAGCAGTATTTAAGTTAGCAGTTTTATAATCAGCTTTTAGTCAATACGCTCTCATTACTCATCTTATCAACACGTATGAGTGAATTTCTTTAAAACGTGGTCCTCCTGGTCACACCATCTGCTTTGTGTCAACTTTAAGACCCACGATTTTATCCAAATCCCTGAATCTGGGTGAGAGATTACAGTAAAGTGAGCTCCTTCTCTGGATCTGTACCTCACTCAGGAAAATGATCCCACCTGTACAAACAAAGCAGGACTAGTGGGCAGCTAATGTCTCAAATGCTCCAGGTAATAAAATGCATTTAGTCTCTGAAAAAGCAAAACTAAAATGTGTTAATTTTGCTGAATTTAATGTTTTATAAACCTTGATGTGACTCAGTTTTGCATCACATTGTTATTTTGGCAAAAATATTAAAGACCAAGTTCACTGAGAACCCATTTTTACTTGCTATTTTTAAAATATGATTGGTCACTCCGAGGTTAACATGCAGGCTAAATGGGAAAATAGTCTTCTACGCCTATTTCCTGCTTTAGACGCAGATAGAAAATAGAAGAGGAAGCGCTCGGATTAGAAAAGCTTGACAGATCTACGTCACACTGTCAAATTGGCATTTGTGGTCTCGGGATGTTGTTGTTTTAGCGTCCGGGAAAAAGCAGAGCACATCTCAGCCAGTAGAAGCTAACTGTTAGCATTAGCAACTTCACAAAACGGCAGAATTCCTTCAGGATTTAGTTATTTTTGGAGATAAAACGTTGGTTACGTATTGTAACCCCAGATTCTATGAGTCTAGTCGCAGCCCTTAAGCGAGCTGCTATTGGAAGGATGATCTCCGCATCAGCCAATCATTAAGAGCTTAAATGTACGCCCACCAATAGTGGGCCCCCTCGTGGTATATAACCGCAGTGACCCCACTGCTCGCCTCCAATGGCTCTTATTCCATCAAAACCAGTGGGGCCAAGTGGCTTAAGGGCTGCGACTAGACTCATAGAATCTGGGGTTACAATACGTAACCAACGTTCTATTTCATCTAGTCTTAGCCCTTAAGCGAGCTGCTATTGGAAAAAAGCGCAGCTGGATGGGTTTACGCCACACTGGTTAACACAACCAATGGACACACCCAATCAATCTCCTTTAGTGAGGGACGTTCAGCCTCAGACCAGGCTTAAAGACTGAGGCAGCCACGATAAGAGAGGGGCCCTCACTAAAAAAAACATCATCCACGAGAGGATGACATCCATCTCAGCAAGGCCAATGAGGTGCCATAAGCATTCATTCAGCCTGCTGGGGTCCAAGCACTGAACGAGTGATGGAACCTGAAGACACATCTCGTAAATAATAACGAGTAAAGGAACAGGATGAAGCCCATGAAGCAGCCTGACAAATGTCTTCCATCGACACACCACTGTGGAGCGCCATCGAAGAGGAAATCCCCCTGGCTGAGTGAGCCCTGAGTGCCTCAGGGGAATCCTGCCCCGATGACGTGTAAGCGAGGGAAATGGCTTCACACAGCCAGTGCGAAAGACGCTGGGTCGACAGCGCCTGACCAAGGGAAGACTCCCTGTAGTGCACAAACAGGTTTTGTGAACGACGAATCTCCGAAGTGCGTGACACATACCGTACAAGCGCGCGCACCGGGCAGAGAAGGTGAGAAGCTGCTTCCTCCTCAGAATTATGGGGAGGAGGAAAAAGTCCAGCCAATGAAATTGACCTGGATTTGAAGGAAGCATTAATGCTTTTGGGCACAAAGGCTGGATTGGGGCATAAAACAGCAGACCCGCCATCTTCCCGGATCCTGAGGCATGCGGGAGCCACTGAAAGGGCGGTCAGGTCACTCACTCTCTTAACTGATGCTAGCGCTAGCAGCAATGCAGTTTTAAGTGACAGGAACTTGAGTGAGACCTGGTCCAAGGGTTCAAATGGGGCTTTGGATAAGCCGTGCAGAACCACCGTTAGATCCCACTGGGGAAAAAGCGGGCGGGACACAGGTCTGTTCCTCCTGACACCTTTTAGAAAACGTTTTGTGAGGGGATGATTGAAAACAGATCTATCTCCAAACCCTTGGTGACAGGATGAGATAGCTGCAGCATATGTTTTAATAGTGCTGAATGCGAGGCCCCTGTCCATCAGTATCTGCAGAAACGATAGGACATCCGCCAGCTGGCAGGAGAGCGCTTGAACATTCCACTCTGTGCACCATTTCTGGAAAGCTGCCCATTTAGCAGCGTAAGACGCAATGGTAGAGGGCGCCCGCGCACTCTGAATCGTGGCGACCACATCATGCGGCAGCCCAGAAGCCTCTAAGCGTGACCGCTCAGCGGCCAGACCCACAACCGTTGGCCTATTTCCAGAGGATGTTTGATTATTCCATCCGCCTGGAGAAGGGCGTCCGCCCTCCACGGGAGCCTCCACGGGGAGCCGGACACTAGCGCTTGCAGGTCCGGAAACCATGACGCGGACAAGCGCCTGGGAGCCACCAGAATCACCGAGAGCCGTTCCGACTGAATTCGGTCTAAGAGACGGGGAATCAGAGGGACTGGCGGAAACGCATAAAGGAGCGCTCGAGGCCAGGGCTGGTGTGAGAAGGCGTCCGCCCCGAGCGGAGGTCCGTCCCGGGGACTCAGGAAAAACCACAGGCGACACTGAGCGTTTTCGCGAGCCGCAAACAGATCCACAGACGGTTCCCCGAACCTGATCCAGATCTGTGATATCAGTGCGGGATGCAGACGCCAGTCGGAGTCGCGGGGTCCCCCTCTCGACAGGATGTCTGCCGCTACATTCAGGACCCCCGGAATGTAGATGGCTCTGATGGACAGCAGGTGGACATGTGTCCAACACAGTAAATCTGTGGCGACACGCAACAGAGGGAGGGATCGAACTCCCCCTTGGCGATTTATGTAGGCTGCCGCCACCTGGTTGTCTGTGTGAACTTCGACATGACGGCCCTCGAGAAGGGCAGCAAAGTGTCTGATCACATTCCTCACTGTCATAAGCTCCAACACATTTATATGCTCGTGCGTGTGGGAGGGCCAACGATCTGCCACCGTATGGGACAAGCACGTGCCCCCCCCACCCCGACAGTGACGCATCCGTAAACACAGATACGTGTGACGCAGGACGTCCGATGGGAACCCCGCGTGAGAGGATGCAGGGGTTCCCCCAGTGAGCGAGGTCCCCGCCCACTGAAGGGGGAATCCTCAACATACGTCTCTTCTGACGTATCGGGTGCACCCGGAGGCGGGTGAACCAACGTTGCAAGCGCCTCGTGTGCAGCAAGCCTAGTGGCACCACCGAATGGGCTGCGGACATCATGCCCAGGAGTTTCATGACTAACAGGGCTCTCACGATCTTGCGGGGTTGTACACGGGAGATCACCGTGGAGAGATCTGCCGCTCTTGCAGGCGACAAACGTGCTCTCATTAGGGAGGCGTCCAACTCCACCCCGAGATACACAATCGACTGGGATGGAAGAACGGAGCTCTTTTCCCAGTTTATAGAAAACCCCAGGGTCGACAGATGCTCTGTCAACCTCCTGGTTTGCCGTGACGCCTCGTCCTTGGACCGAGCGCACAGGAGAAGATCGTCCAAGTAAAATAAAACCCTCATTCCCTCCGTGCGCAGTGGCTGCAGCGCGGTCTCCAGACATTTGGAGAAGGTGCGCGGGGCTAGCGAGTAGCCGAAAGGGAGGCGATTGAACTGATATTGAACTCCCTTGAACGAAAAACGCAGAAACTTCCGGTGATTTGGAATTACTGGTATGTGGAAGTATGCGTCTTTCAGGTCGATTGACGTGAACCAATCCCCGGGGCGCACATATTCCAGGACTTGTCTCATCGTTAACATGCGGAAATGCATTACTGCTATGGAGCAGTTGAACAGGGACAGGTCGAGAATCGGTCTCATTCCTCCCGACTTCTTCGGTACTATGAAGTAGCGGGAGTAGAAGCCCGAGAGCTCTTGTCCGCGAGGGACTCGTGAAATAGCGTCCTTGGACAGAAGTTCCCGCAATTTCAGCTCTAGGGCCTGAGACTGTACTTGCGATGTGAACGTCGTCTCCACGATCCCGTTGAAGGGAGGTGGAGTGACCTGAAAATGAAGTGTGTGACCGCAATGAATGGTGTCCGAAATCCATTTGCTCATGATACAAAGGCGGCGCCACTCGTGCGCGCGTTCCGACAGTGGACGCGTGTGCGCGGTCGCGTGAGCAACGACTGAGGGTTGTGCATGCGCCCTTACCGCCGTCGCCCGTACCAGAGAACTGGGGGCGACCCATGGAGGGCTGCGCTCGAAAGGGCGAGTGCGAAACAGCTGGAACAGGCTGGTCCGCACCGCGGAGCGTGGAGTCCGA